AGGCACAGAGCGGGGAAAAGGCGTTACCCGACGTCACCCAGTAGAGCCAGGAACTGGACCCAGGTGTCCTGACCCACCCCATGCCAGTGATCTACTCACTTGCCCAGACTGCTTGGCCTGGCTGTTTGTCAAGGTTTCCCATAACAATGGTAGGGGCACGGGATAGATAAGACATCAGGTGCTTGGTGGAGGGACCCCCGTCTCTCACCCTGCTGCGCAGGGTCTGGTACAAGAGCGCTGAGGACACACAGCTCTCTCCTGGGGTCACCTCCTCTGGGATTCCTGTTCCCAAACCCTGTCACAGCTAGGGACAGGGGCATGGTACTTATCTGTGGTTTGGTGCCGCCCTCTACTGGGACAACGTCAGCATTACTTTGCCCCCCAAAGATCCAGGTGAGGACGAGGGATGCAGGGGCGCAGGCGGAAAATGGCTTTTGGTCCTGGACGAGGTGCTTGGACGTGGGCAGAGAAGAGCCATCGAGTGGAGCGGAGCCGGGCCTGGCTCGGCCAATGGGGTGCGCTGGGAGCCCTGAAGGGAAGATTTGGGTTTAAACCAAGTGAGGGGGCTAGGCATTCCGCAGTCCTCAGCACTGATTTCCCCCTTCACCCTTGCACCCGTTCCCCTGGAGATGCCAATCCCCCATGCAAAACACCTCTGCCAATGCAACCGGATGCCATGTGGACACAAAAGCCTGGATCCTAACAGGTGGTTAACTGAAACCTCTGGGAGTTAGGTGGCTAAATCCCTTTGAGGATCTAGGCCTAAGCGCCAAGCGAGGGGCCCTCTGCCAAGAATACTTTGCAGGTGGCGCTGGGCCAATGGGCCGAGCCTCTCGCATGGACGTGACTAAATGTTTTGGTTTAGCTTACGTTGATCATAGGAATGGCTTCCTGCTAATGCCAAGCACGCTGTTCTTAAACCAAATAAGGGGGCTCCCTGAACGGACGCTCATGGTTTAGGTAAACAAAGACACGGATGGTTTTGTCTGAACTAGGAAAAATTCTTCCTATCTGGGCAGAGAAATAATCTCTACCCGTATAACTACACCCACCCCTCGCTCCTCGAGAGCACTTTCCACCAGCACGGCCCCCTTTTTACAGATATGGAAGGGATCCCCTGAGGCCTACAGCTCTGCCCACTAGGAGATACTGCTTCAATAAATCACACAAGAGGCTGTGCAGGGATGAACGTGCTTGGTCAAGTAACCACACCCCTGACAACGTTACACCAACACGAAGCCTAAGACGGTGCATCTGAAAAACCTCCTCATCTCCTTGCATTTCCCGACTTCCCTCGCTCACTCTGAAACGGGATTGAACTCTGCCGATAGACAGGAGAAAGACACTATGAAGCGGAGGTGCTGAGGGCTCCCAAACTTGCATTTTCCCTTCGCGCTCACCTCCCGGCTCCTTCCCGCTACAAGTTAAGAAAGAATTTATTAGATTTTTGCTCCTCCCCATGAAGTTCTTTCTAGAAAGCTATTTTTAGCCGCAATTAACCTTTCGCCTCCCATTTCTAGGTTAGCTGGGCAATTGCTAGAGGCCGGAGCCAATTTGTTTAATTAAAGAGAATTAAGGAAAGAAGTGTCCCCAATTAAAGCAGGAAAAATCATCTGTTTTTAAGGCAGTTTTTTTTGCCACGGGTGTCACATGGAATTAGCAAAGAATGAAGGATGCTGGGTTGAAAGAAAGGGGGCTTGTAACCCTGATGAAAACAGAAGAATCTGGGCTAATTGGAGATTGGTGGGGTGGGTTTTTGCCTTCTAATAGAGGCTTTGTGTCAGACTTCCCAGTAAAAGGCTATAGGAGAAACATCTCATCTGGTTTTCCAGCACTCTGATCCCTAAAATAATCCACATAACGCGTACATAGTTGTTTTTCAGCCCAAAAATTCTACACCCAGATTGCGTCACCTGATGCTGAGACGTGGCTGACTTTGGAGTCTCGTACAACAGCTATTTATACAAGGTCCCTCGCCTGGCACTGAGGTGCAGTCACCTCTGCAGTGGGATGTGGCAGCTGGTTATACAGGGATCCTTCACCCAGCACTAAATTGCAGCTGTCTCTGGGGTGGAACTTGGCAGCTGTTTACACAGGGATCAAATGCAGCCACCTCTGGGGTACCTCCTCATTTGAGAGCCTGCCAGCGTTGAGTAAGGTCTTGTCCACACTGAATTACAGCAGTAAAATACCGCTATCATTATATCCGTATAACTCAGCAGCGGCGTTTCTGAGGCAATGCATCGAGACAGACTGGACGGAGGAGAAGGACTTGTAGAACCAACCCCACTTAGATGGGACTAACCTAGGAGAAGAAGAGATAGGATATCAGTAAAGCAACAGAAGCTAAACTGGGAAAGGGCCCGCGGCCTGGAATAAGAGTTAGACCGGTCTATAACTATAGTGGTATAATTATGCCGGTAAGGTTCCTCATGCAAACAAGCCCTGAGTCATCAATTACAGTGGGGCACGAGCCATAAAGCCAGCCTGTAAACTCCCCTACATTTCAGGGGGGTTGGGATCCAGTGTTTTTGCCCAATAGTGGACTTGAAGGGGGGAGGACTTTGAAGATGGGAAACAGGGACAGAGCAGGGATGCCACCAGCCAGAAATCACCCTGTGAGTCTGGTGCCAAAGCGAGGAATAAAACTCAGGAGTCCTGACTCCCAGTCCCCCCATTCTCCCCACTAGAGCCCACTCCCCTTTCAGAGCTGGGCAGAGAATCCAGAAGTCCCAGCTTCCTTAGTGTAACAAGCCGGAAATGCCTTACCTGGCTAAACCAGGCCAATTCTTCAACATCCTTCAAAGGAGCCCACAGGAGTCCACAAAAGGACACAGTTCCGTCCCGCTTTCCCTGGCTGGGCTAATTACCCCTAACGAGGGACATTAGCGCTAATCACCTATTTATAGCACATGTTGGAGCATTTATGGTGGCAATTGGGCCCAGATGGCTCATGACTTCAGCAGCCAGGGGATCAGGCCCATGATGCAAAGCGGTACTGTCCCCCGGCCTAGAGGCACCCCCTTCTCTGTTGTAACTTGCCCTGTAGTGGAGATGTGAAACATTCAAAGCATCCAGCCCAGTATCCGGCCCTGGGAGCGACCAGGTTCCGATTGTACTTGCAACACAGAGGCAGGTTCTCCGTTCTCCGGCACCCAGTCCAGCCATTCACCCCAGTAAAATGTTACCCAGGGAGCATTCTCCACTCGTTTCCAGACCCACTTGACCCTGGCCTCAGTGGCTATGCAAGATGTAGGGTGACAGAGAGCCAGCAAGGTAAATCGTGTCTAGCCCTGGTATTTGCCCTAGTTCAAAGAGAACCCAGGTGTCCTACTTCCCAGCTGCCCTGCTCTAACTACTACCCAGCCCTCTAACCCCTAAGCAACACTTAACCCTTCCCTCCTGGCCTCATTCCAGCTTGGCTAATTCCGTTTCTGCCTCCCTGAATTCCCTCCTGGCAGTTTCCACTGGAGACGCGACCCTTCCCCATTTGCTGTCCCGTGGGGTTTGCGGCGTGGCTGTTTTAAACAGCTGCCGTGTCCTGCCCCAGAGGCAGCTGCATCATCGTGACTGTTTCAGTGGTGGGTCTTGACTGTGACGCACTTTGGGAGGGGAGGCCCTGGAGGGGTGGTTCAGAGCTTACAGTCCGTCTGCAGGGCTCTGTTTGTCCTCTTGCCTTTGTTTCCTCCAGTGGGAATTCAGACCTTGCTGGCTTCTTAGTCTCTACAGCTGAAAAGCCAGCACGGAAATAGAAGATACCGGCCGGCCGCCGGGCTGAAAGCAGCTACCTTTATCTCTCAACGAGGAGGATAAATGGCAGGTCCTGATCAAAAGGAGGCCGGGACTGACAAAGAGCCGGCTGAATGGAGAGCTGCGTCTCTGGGGTCAGGGCTGGAACACACCGGCGACGCTAGGCTGCTGCCGCGGGGAGATAATCCTGGCAGCATGGAGAGGAGGCTGCGATGCGCGTTTATCAGCAGGACATTGCAACGAGAGCTGCCTCTTATCCTTGCTGTGAAAGCACTGTGGCAGAGATACAGCCAGCTGTTTCCTCCCCAGCAAAGGGCAGGGTGGCTGAGCAGGTCGCGGGCTCACCTGGGACTCAGGAAAGTGGGTGTCTCTTCCTGGCTTGGCCTGCTGGACGACCTCAGGCAGGTTGCAGCCACTTTCTGTGCCCTCAGTTTCCCCATCTGTAAAATGGGTGTAATGATCTGGCTCTACTGAGGAAAAGTGGTATGTGCGAGGTAGGTGTTAATAAACCCCAGGTGGGCTGAATTTACACTTCTTGAAGCCAAGGAGATGGTGGGGGGCGAGAGTGGTTTTAAGCCACCTTTCTGCTCCCCCAAAGCTGGCCCTGTACCAGCCCAGGGTGTAACTTACAGCAGCCTCAGGGCTGCTCTTAGTTATGCCAGCTGTGGATCGCATCCCAGATGGGGCCCCATCCCAGCATGCTCATCCCGGAAGGGGGAAGGGTAGCATAGAGCCAGCTTGTTGCCTCCCTACCCTAGGACTCTCCCTGTGTCAGGGCAGGATCCTGGGCAGCACAAAGCCTCTCACGCCCAAGGAATGAGCTCAGTGAGTTGCTGGCAGGACATGGGATGGACCCAGGAGTCCTGGCTCCCAGTATCCTACCGAGAAAGAAACCTACCCATAGCTAGAAAGGTCTGGGTGGAAAAATATTGGCTTGGCTGGTGAATCTACACACCCAGCATTGCTCCTCGGGCACCCAGCCACATCCACGGCAGGTGTAAATATCAGAAGAAGGTCCAATGAGCCACACTGCTTTACACCAGCTGGGGATCTCGCCCACTGACCCCAACAGAGAGATGCTGAGTCACATCAGCTGGGGATCCGACCCTTCGACCATAAGGGAGCATGGCGATCAGAACCCAGGGCAAAGCATTGCTCCCAGAGTGGTCGGCACCAGTTATGGGGGAAGCAAGAGATTCAACTTCCCACTCGGGATCACATCCTAGACAACGAGAGAGTTTATTGAACAAACAAAATAAGACAAGAGTCCCGTGGAGCCCGGCGCAGGCACCAGCTAAGCAAACGCTCCTGCATTCAGACACAGAAACCACTTGCCTCCCCTCGCCTTGCTGCTAAAGGGTGGGAAATACAAAAGGAACCGGAAGGAGACGGGAAGATTTTCATTCGTTCAACAAAGCGAGAGATTTCGACATGGGAATTCCTGTATCCAAAGGTCCCGCTAGCTCCCGATCCTGCTCAGACCTGCCACTCGCTGCCTGGAGCTCAGGTACCATCCCGGATAAGGCCGGGGGCAGTGAAATGGATGGTCAAATGGAGCTCTTGTTCCAGTTGAACTGGGGAAGGCCCGCTGCTGATGGAATACCGGCCACCATTCTCCACTGGCCTGAGCCTAGCTGAGGTGTTTAGACCTACACCCCGTGGGTTCAGGTCTTTACAGTTCTGATTGACTATCATTTGCTCAAGGGCTGCTGTGGAAAGCCCCGATTCCCTCTGCTTTAGCCAGGAAAAGCCGCCCAGCAATGCCAGCTCAGTGACAATGGTCCTGGCCAGACGCAGAGAGCAGGGGAGGAAGGTGTAGGGTCTCTCGGGCTGCTGAGACCACGGAGAGGAAAGGCATGTTTGGATACAGGCACGGACTCGCAATGGGGATGATAGGACACTGGGAGGCCAGTTCTTCCATGCTGCTCCGGGACAGGTGGCCATTGCTGCTGATGTTGGTCTAAAAGGAGGGCATGTGTTGGGAGCCCTCCTGGCTTTGGTTGGAGGAAGAGGTGGAGAAGGCGACGCTGGACTCTGGAAGAACAGAGCAAGGCAGAGTTGGAACAGCTGGTGGGCAGGGAGGGGAAGGGAGTGACACCTGTGAAATCCAGCAGGGCTGTCACACCCCAGCATACCAGGGGCCCAGCGTAGGCATCCATCTACACTGCACAGCTAACCCAGGCTCTTCCCCAGGGGTTAGCCAGAACCACTCCCATCCACACAGAAAAACCTCGGACCTGCACTTGGAGATGGGTTAGAACCCGGACTAGGTGGGTTAGAACCCGGACTAGCTGGCCCAGCTGGGGGTGGGTTAGAACCCGGACTAGCTGGCCCAGCTGGGGGTGGGTTAGAACCTGGACTAGCTGGCCCAGCTGGGGGTGGGTTAGAACCTGGACTAGCTGGCCCACCTGGGGGTGGGTTAGAACCCGGACTAGCTGGCCCACCTGGGGGTGGGTTAGACCACGGACTAGCTGGCCTACCTGGGGGTGGGTTAGAACACGGACTAGCTGGCCCAGCTGGGGGTGGGTTAGAACCAGGCTGTGAGCTGGCTGGGGGGTGGGTTAGAACCGGGCTGTGAGCTGGCTGGGGGGTGGGTTAGAATCAGGCTGTGAGCTGGCTGGGGGTGTTGTAAAGCCCATGGGATGTCCCCATTAACAGTCTAACAATGGCTGGGGGGCGGCTGGATCGGCTGAGTTCTCCTAAGATGCCAACTGCAGGGGGCAATAGCTCACCTGTCTGAACAACAATGGCCTCTTCAACCCTTTGGATCAGTCGGGTGAAGCCGGCCCAAATCATGGGCCCCAAGACTTGGTGGAGGATATACAAGACGACAATGCTGGTGAGAATGGCCATGGAAATCTGGCGGGGAAAAGCAGGGGGGAGACGTACCGTTACCCCGTCTGTGGCTATGGAGAACTACGGCTCCTTTGAGAAAAAGGCAGGGCCGGTCTCTGAACTGCTGCCGTGGGACACCTGGGGAAACTTGTCCGGCTGGCACCTGGACAGCTCTGGGTGTACAGAATGGGGAGGAGGTGGAGTGTGGCTTGGGCTAGCAGGTAGGCCTGGGTTCTACCCCAGCTCTGGGAGGAGAGTAGTGGCTAGTGGCTATAGCAGCAGGGCGCATGGGCAGGGGTGCTGGGAGTCAGGACTCCCGAGTTCTATCCCAGCTCTGAGAAAGGAGTGGGGCCTAGTGGGTAGAGTGGGGGCGCTGGGCGTCAGGACTCCTGAGTTCTGTTCCCAGTGTGGCCCGGCAATGAGGTTTCTCCCACCTTGTGCTTCGGTCGTCATACCAGGCAGCCCCTCTGCAGTGACTAGTGCGTACAGGCTGTCACAGCCCCAAGCCATCGCCAGCCAAAGCTATGGGCCACCTCCTCAGTTGTGCCCTTTTGCGTTCCCTGACACTAGGGCCAGTGGGGTCCCCCAGGCTGGAAAGCCCCAGCCATGCTCCACCTGCTGGCTGGCCTCCCTACACCAGTCCCTGGAGAAGGCGTGACAATCTTGCTGGCTGGAGTGAGCAAGATCAGGGCCCCAGGTCCCCTTCTGTGTCCCCACCCCTGTACCTTCATGAAGGTGATTGCCCGGGAGGGGCTGAGCTGCAAGCCATGAATGTGGATCACAAACTCCAGGTCATAGTCACAGTAGGTGCTGTTGTCCACGGCCCTGCAGGGACGGACCTGAGGGCTCAGGGCATAGGAAGCCCTGTCGCCAGGGCAGCTGTCGTTCAAGCCGTGCACCCGTCTCGGGTGAGCGCCACCACCCCCGGGACAAGCAGCCTGGCGTCCCAAGGCCAGCCTCCACCCGCTGCGTCCCATTCCGTGCGGGGCGGTGTGGGTAGGCATCCCAGAGTCCCTTGTGCCGCCTCCGCAGCAGTGGCTTGCAAATGGGTTTGCAGGAGATCTTAAGAAGCCAGGGATGGCCAGGACATGGAAAGAGAGACTCCTGGCGGGGACTCAGAGTCAGGCTCTGGATACAGCACTGCGGGAGATCGGCAGGGGGACTTTTAACACTAGACTAGGGGGCCTGACTCTTGGTTACTCCATTCCTGGACTTGGGGCATGAGGCAAAGGTGGCTTTAAGCCCTGTTGTGCTCTCTGTATTACGGGGCTGTGCAGGGGCCTGCCCTCCAGTGTAAGTTAGAGCAGCCTCGAGGTTGCTCTAGTTTATCCTCCATGTTCCAAGACCCCGAGGAGCAGAGAACAGCTGTAGCTGAGGGTGATGTGGCCATGCCCACCCCTGACACACCTGCTGGGGAGGACTGGGGGAAAAGCCAGCTGAGGAAGCCCTTTGCGCAAAGGTGATCTCCAGGGGCCACTTTCACCCACTCCAAGGCCCCGTATCGTTGCCAGAGCAGCCCACGACGTCCCCTAGAAAGTGTGATTTGGAGCAGCCCTGAGGCTGCTCCGACTTGTTCCAGATGAGGTGCTGGTCCAGGAGATGGAGCCTGGGATGGACAGTGTGGCCTAGTGGATCAAGCTCTGGACTAGGACTCAGGAGAGCTGGGTGACCTTGGGCAAGTCGCTATGGGATCTGCAGAAGAGCCAGGGACTATTGTCGACAGACGCCAGGGTCGGCAACCCAGCATACACCGGTGCCGAATGCCCTTGGCTTTAAAGGGCCACGTGAGGCTCACCTGTTAGACACCTCCACCAAAAAGAAGTAATCCGGAGATGTCAGCTCTAAGGGAACCACATCGTAACAGGGGGAATTCTGCTCGCAGACCCACCTACAGGAGGGGAAAGACGCCGTGAGCATGGGCTCCGGATAGCCCTCCTGCCAGGAAGCCTTCAGTGTTGGTGATTACAACTCTTATCCCCTATGAATCCAGCACCTCCCCAAGCACAGTGCGGGGCATTTCAGCTGTTTGAGGCAGGGACTCTCTCTATGGTTACAGGTTTGCACAGCGCCCAGGGCAACGGAGCACCAGCCTCCAGGCGCCCCTTCGGCCCAAGCAGGTAACCAACGTTTGGGGCTTTGCAGGGCTTTTTCGGTTAGGATAAGCTATCAGTGATACGAATCAGATCTATGTCTGGTTTATTGGCAACGGACCCCCACAAAGTCCTGACTCAAACAGCAGCAGGCAGTTTCTTGTTCTGAAATTCCCAAGTCTGCCCCTTCAGTGGGCTCTGTGCCCAAGAAACCCTGTCTCTCTGCTCCCTCCCAGGGTCACACTCACAGCTGCTTCCCCAGGCTCTCTCCTCCAACACAGAGGCTTCTGTCCTAGCCCTGGGCTGGAAACCAGGCAAACCTGTCTTCCCACACAGCTGAGCTCTGCCTTGGGCACTCCTTCCTTCTTTGTAGCTATCTCTACTGCACAAAGGGGCTTCATTGCTCCCGTCACTGAGCCCATGGGAGAGTGCTTTGCACAGATGCTGGCTTTAATGCGGTCTGTGATCGTCTTTGGATCAAAGCTCTACCCAATGGCACCTTTCAGATGAATAATGATAATGTACAGGGAATAAACCGCACTGGGAGTGACTGAAAAGAGAACAAGCAAGTCAAGTTCAGTCCCCGGTGGAGAATGGCAGGGAAGGGGCTGGAAATCTGCGTACCCACTCTGATATTTCCTTACTTGATCCCACCGTTGGTTTCGGAGAAGATATCGAAGCCTTCGGGATCAGTAAGGGGAGGTTTCGTGCGATTAGCCCTCATCCAGATCAGACTCTGCGGCGTGCTGGGGAGAGAAAGTGTCCGGAGTCACAGATCCATCTATTTTAAGGCCATTTCAACCTTTTTAAAGAAACCTTTTTTGGGCCTAAGTTTATAAAAGAATTCTCCACAAAAAGTCATTTCCACTCGAAAAAATCTGGAACATGACTGATGTGAAACTCTTTTCCCCAGTCAGAAGATTTGCTGAAACCTGGCTAGATGGAAGGGGAAAACGCCAGCTGTGAGAGGGGGGATCCTGGCTAATACACATACCCTTATCAGCCTTGCCCCGCTAGGAGGCCCTGGGGTACACAGCCATATTCTCATAAGCCTGCATCTGCTGCAGTTCAATCCCCCACCCAAGGAGGCAGTAGAGGGCAACCCAGCCAGGCCAGCCAAGGCAGCCCCAGCTCCTGGAAAGGTAGGAGAAGCAAAGTATGAGAAGTAACATCTGCAAGGGGCAGCAGGATCCCATCTCGGTCAGGATCTGTGCAGAGCCTGGCAACAAGTTCCACAGGTTGACTGTGCGTCAGGTGAAGAAAACCCTCCTTCAGTTTGTTACAAACCTGCTGCCTGGCCATTCCATTGGGTGACCCCTGGTTCGTACGTTCTGTGAAGGGGTAAAGAACTCTTCCCTAGTCCCTTTCCCCACACCAGCCATGATGTTAGAGACCTCCGTCGAGGGTAGCTGTGTCCTACCTGCCGTTTTTTGTGTTATAGTCGAGGATTTCGCTCGGGCTGTAGACGCGGATCCTGCTCTCCGAGTACGGCCCTCCTCCGATGATCCTCAGAATGTAGCTACCATCGGAACAAAGAACACGCTGCTGTGAAGACCAGCCCAATGGGCTCGGCAGTTAGAAACCCCCTCTAGGGGGCAAGTCCTCCTAGCCACATGGCCCAAACAGCTGGGTGGAAACCCTCCTCACCCCGCTCACCCCAGGCCTTCACGGCTGTTGCTACAACCCCAAAGGGCGAGACCAGTAGCTTTAGTGTAACTCCTACTGGGTCTTTGTCGCCCGCTAGTGACTCAGCATCTTTTACTGGCCCAACTTCTGCTGGTGAGAGAGACGTGCTTTGGAGTTTACCCGGCGCTTCTGAAGGGGCCTGAAGCAGAGTTCTGTGCAAGCCCGAAAGCTCGTCTCTTCCACTAGCAATAAAAGACACGACTTCACCCACCCGGTCTCCCAGCGCTGGGTGAGTTTTGCTAAAGCCAAGGGGGTGGCTTTGCCCAACCCTCACCTGCCCTTGAAAGGTCCCGAGTCCCCTGTCACCATGTCTTGGATCAAGAAGAAGGGGTAAAATACTGTGGGAAAAAGAAGAACATCAAAGCTCACAATTTTAACCGTGCACTTTGCCCCAAAAAGACCATGACACCCCCAGGGGTCGCCGCCTGGGGTCAGAGACCAGTATCAAATGGGCGAGACCATCCTGCCCGGCCCATAGGGCTAAGTGGAAGGGGATCCCAGCAAAATCCTGGCTGGGGGGAGGTGAGGGGGGGGGTGAGTTCTCGCTAGATCCCAGCTCGATGGGAATGGAAGGGGGGAATCCAGCTAGGTGGGAAGAGGGGGGAATCCCAGATGGATCCTGGCCAGTAAGGGGAAGAGAACCATTGGGCTAAGGGGAAGCTGCAGTGGCCTTGCTCCGTGGATGGCTCTGAGAACACAGAGATCAGCAGCCCACATGCGAGTCCAGCTCCACAACTCTAAGGCACCGGAACAGCCAAACTGAGGCTGATTTCTGGGCAGCTCGGGAAATCCAGAGTCGGGGCCTGGGATCACAACCAAGAACCGAGGCTCAGATCAGAATCGAGCCAGGATCTAGCCGGGATCCCCTCCCACCACCCCACCCCTGAATCTCCCAGACTCCAGCAGTGAAAGCCAGCAGCTGGTGCAGATGCAGAAGGGTCCAGCTAGGGTCCACGCCAGACAAGCTAAGTGGGGTTTTACAAGCAGGGTCCCGTTTGATCTGTCTCTGGACCTCAGCCAGGATCTGGTCCCCTGTGCGGACACCTTCATCTGCCTCTCCTTACCATTGTTAAAGGAGAAGCATGGCAATTCTGGGTTCTTGTGGGTGCAGTCAAAGTACCGCTTGTTCTGTTCGGTGGTGTACGTCAGGGTTCGGGTGATGTCAAAGGCCAGCCGCTTGCCTGGGGGGCAGCCAATTAAGATTGGCACCATGGCATAGCCCTGCAGGTGAGGGGAGGGGGGTGAGAAAAAGACACCCCTGTTCACTCTGCAGCTTGTAAGGTGCCCGGGTACCCCAGGGATGGTCATGGGGGGTCTAATGCATGCAGCCAAACGCTGGAATTCCAGTCTGCGGAATGCAACACAACTAATGCTCATGTCGGCTTATTAAGGTACCCCGCCCAAAACTGACCCATTCCCAGTGGCTACTGCCTGCTCCAATGGGGCAGAGTTAAGGGGGCCCTGAGGGGCATGAATCGTCACTTTTTGTATCCTGCTTTCCAGAGGCAAAAGTTTAGCCACTCCACATTTGGGAAGAGTGTGAGACAGCACTGGGCAACCCTAACTCCGTGTTAACTAAATTCTGGGGCAGATTAGATAAATAGATAGATTAGATAGACAGATGGGATGTATGAGGATAGACAGATCGGTAGATAGACAGATTAGATAGATAGATGGGATGTATGAGGATAGACAGATCGGTAGATAGACAGATTAGATAGATAGATGGGATGTATGAGGATAGACAGATCGATAGATAGATTAGATAGAGCAGGTGTATGGGGTTAGACAGATAGATTAGATCAGGGGTTGGCAATTTATGGCACGCGTGCCAAAGACGACACATGAGATGATTTTTAATGGCACACTGCTGCCTGCCGGGTCCCAGCCGCCAGCCCTGCTCAGCCCGCTGCCGAACCCAGGCCGGCAGTGGGCTGAGCAGGGCCGGGGTGCGACCCTGGCAGACAGCAGCATGCCATTACAAATCCTACCCACCCCGGCCCACTCTTTTCCACGCCCTCCCGACCACCCACCCCCCTAAGCGCGGGGGCAGGGTGAAGAAGCTTGGTCCTGCCGGCTGCTGCTGCAGGACAGGCAAGTTCCCCCTCCCCCGCCTCTTCCCCCAGTGTGCTGGGGTCCTGCCCCTCCTCCTCTCCCTCCCTGCTGCAGATTAGCTGGTGGCCCTTGCAAGGGAGGGGGAGAAGCGGAGCCAGAGCTCACTCGCTGCTCCAGGGAGGAGGCAGAGACGAGGTGGGGATGGGGCCTTGGGGAAGGGGGTTGGAATCAGGGCATATCCCCTCCAGCCCCCTGCCATGAGCCACTCTAGGCAGGGGGCTGGGAGCACCGCCAGGACCCTAGCCCACACACCCAGCCCTCTGCCCTGACTCCTACACCCCCCCACACACACCCCAGCCTCCTGCCCTGCACCCCCACACACCTCAGCCCTCTGCCCTGACCCCTGTACCCCCCACGACCCCAGCCCTGACTCCAGCACCCCCCCCACATACCCAGCCCCCCACGACCCCTGCCCTGACTCCAGCACTCCCCCACATACCCAGCCCCCCACACCCTATGCCTTGACTCCTGCACCCTCCTCACACACCCCCAGCCCCCTGCCCTGACTTCTGTACCCCCCACACATACCCAGCCTTCTGCCCTGACCCCTGCACCCCCACACATACCCAGCCCCCCATCCCATGCCCTGACTCTTGCACCCCCCTCACATGCCCCCAGCCCTCTGCCCTGACTCCTGCACCCTCCTCACACACCCCCAGCCCCCTGCCCTGACTCTTGCACCCCCCACATTCCCAACCCCACCCTGAACACCAAATAGGAGCTCATGCACCCCTCACACCAAATGGGAGCTGCCCAGGTAAGCACTCCACACCCAAACCTCCTGCCCCAACCCTGAGCCCTCTCCCTCATTCTAGCTCCTGGTCAGACCCTACACCCCAACCCTCAGCCGCTCCTTCACCCCCAGCCCTATGCTCAATGCACTCCCACCCTCAGCTCAGTGCAGAGAGAGAGGAAGAGAATGGGCTAGGACCAGGGAGAAGGTAGGTACCCACTCTATGTGGGCAGGGCCGGGATCCCAGACTGGCAGCAGGCTGAGCGGGGCCGGCAGCCTGGAGCCTGGCTGGCAGGAGCTGGCGGATGGAACCCAAGACTGGCAGCGGGCTGAGCGGCAGTGGGCTGAGCTGCTCAGCCCACTGCCAGTCTGGGGTCCCGGCCGCCGATCCCACTTAGCCTGCTGCCAGTCTGGGGTTCTGACTGCCGGCCCCTTGCCAGCTGGGGTCCCGGCCACAGGCCCCGCTCAGCCTGCTGCCGGCCTAGGTGAACAGAACCCCAGGCCGGCAGCGGGCTGAGCGGGCCGGTGGCTTAAGATCAGAATTTTAATTTAATTTTAAATGAAGCTTCTTAAACATTTTGAAGACCTTGTTTACTTTACATACAACAGTAATTTAGTTATATAATATACAAACTTATAGAGCGAGACCTTCTAAAAACATTTAAATGTATGACTGGCACGCAAAACCTTAAATGAAAGGGAATAAATGAAGACTCAGCACACCGCTTCTGAAAGGTTGCCCTGGGTTAGAAAGATAGATAGATAGATTAGATAGAAGGGATGTGTAGTGGGGTGGCTACCCTGCTCCTAAAATAGAAGGGGTTAAAAGCAGCCCTGGAGAGGGCTGTGGCTGGCTGACTGGGGAAGCAGCCGCAGCTGGGCCACGCCCCAATCAGGCCCCAACTGGCCTGTATCAAAAGGCTGGGAGCCAGGAGCCCAAGGAGTCTCTCTCCAGGCTGGGAGAGAGCAGGGCCTACCTGCCTGACAGGGTACTGAGGGTGGTACCATGCTGGGGAAGGAGCATGCTGTGTGGGGGTGCTCCACGCTGCCAACTCCCCAGGTTGTAGGCCCTGTTCCAAGGCTCATAGAGGTACTGGGAGGCAGAGGAAGGCAGCAGGTCCGAACCCCCTTGCCCATGATGAGTGGCCTTTACACCGCAGTCTGTCCCAGGGAGCGGGGGTTGGTGACTGGTTGATGACTGGCAGTAGCCCAGACTGAGGCAAGGTGGGGTTGGGGGTTCCCCAGGAAGGGGAAACCTAGAGGCAGAGTGTGGGGGTACTGCCAGGGGGCACAACCCCAGAGAAAGGGGCACTGGGGTTTGTGAGGAACATGGGGGCTGGAGCTGTGGCGGATCACCGGCCTGCAGAGGGCGCTCCATGCTGAAAAAGAGTTAATTCCCAATGAGCAGCAGGAGGTGCCGTAGGGGTGAGTCTGCTCCTTTACAGAATGTCTGGTGAGAGATAGACAGATAGATAGATGATTCAGGGTGTGTGGGGATAGAATAGACAGATAGATAGATTAGATGATATTATTGCTCCATTATCGCAAACAAAATGTTAATATAGTCTCATTAATTACTTTCCTCACGGGTTCAGACCCAGTAGTTACCTGGAGTTTTGGGCCGGACACTGTGTACTGGTAACAGTTTGTTGCTGCATTCATAACCTGGAACGTTTAAATCAAAAATGAATTTCTGTTAGGACCAAACAAATGAAAAGTCCATCGTCAAGGCTCACTGGGCCATCCGGTCCTGTATCCTGCCCCCTTGTACCACAGGATCAGCTTATTGGCCCATGGAGTCTGGGATCCTGCCTCCTGCTGTGTTTGATCACATCACCAGCCCGTCTCGCCTGATATCCCAGTTGCTGCCCTGGCAGATCAGACCACAGAGCCAGCCCACTCCCAGCAATGTCCAATAATACTTGAGACTCCGGAGGAAAGTCTAGATAACATGACACATCTCCTTGCCCCAGGATGTCACTGAGGAGAAGAACTAAGCCAGACTGGCCGTTCATATGCATAACAAGGTCACTCAGAGCTATCATCGCTAATGCTAACAGAGATCAGAAAGAAGGGCTATTAAAATTTTTAATCCTATCGCCAGCAACAAGGGGTCAGCATGAGACCTAATGCGGGGGACAGATTATCCTGTGCCTGCTACTGCTGGCTTCTTACACCTTCCTCTGCTGCTGGCCGCTGCCAGAGACAGGATGTCATGAAGCAGGACCCTTCTGTAACAGTGTTATGACCGATGTGCCTGGCAAGGACTGACCTGACTAGGTATTGCTTCCTAGTGGGTGTAAAGGGGTTCCAAAGCAGCTGTTAGATCAGAGCTGGAGACACGGAGATGTTTGTGACACATGACTGTCTGGGGTGGGACCAGGGGGTCGTTAAAGGACTGGCTGAACACCACCCAGATCAATAGAGAAGAACCCCAGTGACTGAATACCTAGCAACCAGGACATCAGGCAGGTCGAACATGTGAACTCAGCAGGGATCTGGAGGAGGACAGTGGCCCAGGGGAGGACAGGAGGCTGGAATAAGAGAGGCGGGTGAGGGGCTCCCCCAGGGACTGACAGACAAAGGGACAGACTGAGAGGATGGTGAGTTGTGGCTTGGCCGGAATGGACTATATAGAATCATAGAAGATTAGGGTTGGAATAGACCTCAGGAGGTATCTAGTCCAACCTCCTGCTCAAAGCAGGACCAACACCAGCTAAATCATCCCAGCCAGGGCTTTGTCAAGCCAGGCCATAAAAAATTCTGCGACTGCGTAGACTGTCGGTCCTTCATCAGTTGAGACTGAGCCAATCACAACACGTCTTCCAATCTTCTCTCACCCTTGCCATCCTTCGCCACGCTTGTCCATATCTCCTTGTTAGGAAATCATCCCACCTCTTTGCAGGCCGACTGCGGGGCTGTTTCTGTTCTCGCGGATACCACTTGGCTATAGCTGTGGTCCATCTGTTGTTCCTGAATCAGGCCACATGTCCCACCCACCGCATTTTGCTGAGCCTGCTTTCAACAACAACGTCTCACGCTCCAGACTGCTGCCTAACTATTTCGTTGGGGATGTGATCACGGGGCGAAATGCCCAAAAATGTTCGTTCCATCGCCTTCTGTGTGACAGACAGTTGATGTTCTTCAATCTTTGTCAGCGACCATGTTTCGCTGCCATATAACATTGCTGGAAGCACGGTCAAGTTAAAAAGATTCACATGAGTTGTTTTACTGATCTTTCCTTGGAGGATGTCCTTGATGTCACTAAATGTGCATCATCCAGCTTTTTTTCTGCACGACAGTTTGCCTTTCTGATCGTGGCGCATGTTGACTTCTTGGCCCAAATAAACATATTTATCAACCTCTTGGATCCGCTCTCCTCCAAGAGTGATTTGGGTTCTTGGCAGATCATCTGATCTCATGTATTTCGCTTTCGACCGGTTCATTTTTAATCCGACTTGACTACTTTTCGTGTTCAGTTCTTTAAGCATTCTCTCAAGCTGGGCTGTATTTTCGGCTATCAGCACTATATCATCTGTGAACCTAAGATGGTTTAGCCGCTCGCCGTTGATATTAATCCCGCCTTTCAAGTCTGCTCGTCGAAAAACCAATTCAAGACAGGCTGTGAATAATTTTGGTGAAACTGTATCTCCTTATTTCACACCTTTCTCGATGGGGATTCGGAGGGGAGTATCGAACAGCGATATGTCCATGCTGCAGCCAGAGTTCACTTCCTTTATTAATGTGATATATTTCGCACTGATGCCCTGTTCTGAAAGAGCTTCAAGGATGGCGTTAGTCTTTACGCTGTCGAACACCTTCTCATAGTCCACGAAGGCAATGCACAAAGGGAACTTGTATTCCCTTGAATGCTCTAGTAGTTGGGTTAGAGTGAAAATGTGGTCTATCGTGCTGTAATTCCTTCGAAAGCCGGCCTACTCTCTAGGTTGCTGTTTATCCAGGTTTTGCGACAGTCGATTTGTTACTATTTTAGTAAACAACTTATAGATAAGCGAAAGCAGGCAGATTGGGCGATAGTTCTTTAGATTTTCTCGATCGCCTTTCTTATGCAGCAAGATGGTATTGGACTCTTTCCAACTGAATGGTATCTTCTGGATTTCCAGGTAGTGGTTGAACCTTTGGGCGAGAGTTTTCCGAAGTTCCTGACCTCCTGCCTTAAGCATTTCTGTAGTCAGACTGCCCTTGCCTGGAGCCTTCCCCTCTTTCATTTGGTGGACTGCGTGACAGACTTCGCTGATGAGAACCGGGAGTATGTGTTCATCGGTTTGTTAAAGTGATGGCATTGGAACATCTATACGGGATGCAAACAGCTCGGTATAGAAATCCCTGCAGATTGCCTCCATCTCTGTTCGATCAGTTACTGATTCTCTGTCCCTGTTCTTCAAAGCCGATAATGATGACCTGTACAATGCTAGTTCCCGTTTGCATTTTTTGAGACTCTTACGATCTTCAGCAGCCTTTAGGAGCTTTTTGGTTCGAAATTTCTTGAAGTCTTCCTTCAACCTCATTCGTATGAGCTTGCAGAGAAGGGAGTACTCAAGCCTGTCGCTGCCATATCTTTTCATTTTTCTCCTCTTCCCAATCAAGTCTTTGTATTCTCCGAGATTCTTCCGCTAGCTCTTCTTGGTCTTTCATGCTCAGCTGATTTCACACACTGTTTCAGTCTCTTACTGAAGTTCTCATAATCGTCGTCGCAGTTGTCCAGAAGGCTCCTAGAAATGTTTTTCTTCAGGATTGCCTCGTCAAAAGCTACCGGTTGGTGCTTTCTGTTTGCCATACATAGCGCATTTTTCTCCACCTTCACAGTGAACGTGAGTCTGGCTCTCAGGAGGCAATGATCGCTACCGATATTGAATGATGGCACTACTGAAATATCCTGCACAATGTGTCATCTATAAAAACCTCTAAGGAAAGAGATTCCACTACCTCCCTAAGTAACCCATTCCAGTGCTTCACCACCCTCTTAGTGAAACAGTGTTTCCTAATATCCAACCCAGACCTCCCTCACTGCAACTTGAGACCATTGCTCCTTGTTCTGTCATCTGCTACCACTGAGAACAGCCAAGCTCCATCCTCTTTGGAACCCCCCTTCAGGTAGTTGAAGGCTGCTATCAAATCCCCCCTCACTCTTCTCTTCTGCAGACTAAATAACCCCAGTTCCCTCAGCCTCTCCGCATAAGTCATGTGCCCCAGCCCCCTAACCATTTTCCTTGCCCTCCGCTGGACTCTCTCCAATTTGTCCACATCCTTTCTGTAGTGGGAAGCCCAAAACTGGACGCAATACTCCAGGTGTGGCCTCACCAGTGCCGAACAGAGGGGAATAATCACTTCCCTCGATCTGCTGGCAATGCTCCTACTAATGCAGCCCACTATGCCATTAGCCTTCTTGGCTATAAGGGCACACTTCTGACTCATATCCAGCTTCTCATCCACTGTAATCCCCAGGTCCTTTGCTGCAGAACTGCTGCTTAGCCAGCTGGCCCCCAGCCTGTAGCAGTGCATCTGAAACTTTGCTTCTCTGGAACCTAAGGACTTAACGGTGCTGGGTTCCAGGTGGCTAATGAACCCGGCTCTGCTTGGAACGGGCTGCCTGGCATCACTGTGAGCACCTGCTGAGGTGCACAGGTCCCTGCAGAGCACACGAGTCTCTGACCAGGAGTCTCTCAGTTGGACTTGCCGGCAGACCTCCCGGGGTGAGGCAGGAGCCCAGACGCTGTGTGGCCTACGCTGAAGGCAGAATGGGAAACTTTGGGGGTCTGGCCCACTGATGGGAGTCCTCTAAGGGACTGTTTAAAAGCTGGGGCACAGCACAGAGCCTGTGAAGCCATGATGCAGGCCTAGCTGGATCCTAGAAGGCAGCATGGCCTAGTGGAAAGAGCACTGGGCTGGCACCTAGAACTCCGGAACCTTGGGAGAAGTTTGTAAATGAACAGGATTGCACCATCGTCAATTTCTCCTTCTGCTGGAAACAAGCCACAAGCCCCCAGATTTTGGCTAACGGCTCAGGGCAGAAGGGGCACCAATGTCATGTCTCCATGTCTAAGTATCGAGGGCTAGGTTCTTATGTCACTTACACCAGTATCATCCATGGAAGTCAGTGGATTTACTCTGGATCAACAGCACTGGGAGAGCATTAACGAAGCCCTGTGGCAGTGGGGGTTCTGAGGGCAGCGTAAATCCGGAGCAATTCCAGTGACATCCGGCTCAATCTGGTGTCAGATCATAATCAGACCCCTTCGTTTGGAGAGCCAGCGAGCCAGTGTAAACCTATGTTATATAGCCGGATCTCACACAGATGATCTAAGGGTGAATTGCTCCTATACCAGGGCTGTCTCTCTGTTTCCCCTTGAATCCCATTGTCTGTATCATAAGAATGGCCATACTGGGTCAGACCAAAGGTCCATCAAGCCCAGTATCCTGTCCTCTGACAGTGGCCAATGGCAGGTGCCCCAGAGGGAATGAACATATAGGTTATCATCAAGTGACCCATGCCCTGTCACCCAAACCCAGCTTCTGGCAAGCAGAGGCTAGGGACACTATTCCTGCCAATCCAGGCTAATAGCCATTGATGGACCTATATTCCATGAATCTATCTAGCTCCCTTTTGAACCCCGTTATAGTACTGGCCTTCACAACACCCTCTGGCAAGGAGTTCCACAGGTTGACAATGTGTTGCATGTGTGAGGCTGGTGTGAGGCTATCTTGTGGACTTCCTCCGATGCTGGATCAAACCAGAACCCTCAGGGAGGAACTTGTTTCAGTGTGAGACCTGGGTTCTATCTGATCTCCAGACGAGGTGGTGAGGCAATCTCTGTCACTCGGCCTAATTTAACAAGCTAGTTAGGGAGGGACTTTGAATGGCCTCCTCTTATAGATTTGTCAGAAGCTTCTCTTTCCAGTTGTCAGCATGTTTGCTTTGAATCAGAGGGCCAGATCCTTGGGCTGGGCCATGCGGCGTGCAAAGCAGGGTGTGAGGAACAGGCAGGGAAGTCCTCTCCTCTGTCCTTCTGCTCTCCCCAATTCTACCACCAGCTGGTGCTCTGAGGCAGCTCTAGATTACGCTGGCTGCCCTCTGGTGCCCACAGCTCTGGCTCTCAGGCCTGACAGCTGAGAGCTCCCCTTCTGGGGGGCTCTCAGCGGCCGATATACAGCATCTGGCCCGATGTATCTTGCACTAACATACAGCACTGTCTTTATCTGGAGCTACTGGGCCAGGCCCCCAGCTGGTGTAAATCGATGCAGCTCCATTGCATACCCCCTAGCCGAAACAGTTTTGAGAACATCAATCCAGCTCGGAAATAATCCCATCTGCAGTGATCCACTGCTGTCTGGCCTGTGATCTGATGTGTCTCTCCCAGCCCCCCACTCCCTCACAACAAGAAAAAACTCTCCTAGATGCCTTGTTAACCCCTTTGGCAGATTTTCCCAGCACGGCATCCGTTACCAGCCAGGGACATGCCTAATGAAACTAGTTGTGCCGAGGAGCTAATAACATGGTGGCTCTGTCCTTGCTCCCGATTACCTTGCTGGGCGACAGGCCAGCCTTTTAGCCTACCTTTAAAGCCATTGAACTCCTCAGAAGGTTTGTCCCACTCAGCTCTTGTTTCGCATACAGTCCGGTGTCACTGATGGTCACCTGACGGGGAGAATTTGTAGGGTGCTGGTCAGGCTCTGTAACTGATGAAGAAAGGGCCTGATCCAACTCTCTTTGGGCACTGGGAGACAGATTAGACTCCTGAATAAAGGTCGTGGGTTTATCAACATTTGGGGCCTTGCTTCTCTTGAAGCATAAAGGGGCCTTCAAGTGAGCAGGAACAATCTGAGAATCACCCCCCATGCAGGGCACCTTTACTGGCCGGCACAGAGCTGATATTTGGGGTCTGCACACTCCCTGCTCCCAGCCCCCAGTGTAGGGAACAGATCGGAGGCATGGATGGAGGGTACAGTTGGCACCTGTCCGGGTTCTCCCAGGATTGGCCCTTTTTTTGAGGTAGCTGTCCCAGATGAAAGGGTTTGGATGTCCTGGTTTTTTGTTTCTCAGGAGTGGCAACTCCTGTTCCCCAAGGCCAATAGGGGGCAGATTGGAATGTGGTCAGAGCACACTGTGCTGTGGCTATTCCCTGCCCCCCCGGGCTCACGGGGGGGGGATCAGGGCTGTGGCTGGAGCGCACTGTGCTGTGACTACCCCTGCTCCATAGGAGACAAAGCAGCCCTGAGGATGGGGCCCAGTGGAAGCATTTCGGCATTCCTCTGTCGTGGGCTGACCCAGGACTAATGTGCAAGGGGGTGCCTAGGCCTGGAAGAGCAGGGCTGGCTTCAGGTGAAGACTGAAGGACACTGGCAGAGCTCGGGGACTGTTTGCCTCAATGAGAACTGGATGGGAACAGGAATTTCAAGTTCACAGGAAGCTCCACAATTTCAACCTTTTTGCCATTCCTGAACGAAACCAAAAAAATTCAAAATTTCATTTTGATCTTAATGTTTCATTCCCATCGAATCAAAACGGTTCATTCCAATTTTGACATTTTATAATCTTTTTATTTAAATGAGGGTTTTTTAAACCGAAAGAATGAATTCCATTTTGACACGCCGCAAAAACCCAAAACTATGGAAATATTCGGTTCTGAAAATGTCGCAACAGGACGTTGAGATATTATTAAAATGCTTCATTCTGGGTGTCTCAAAATGAAAGGTGGTGGAAATTGATGCGTGTTTTGATTTGGAGGGAAACGGCATTTTTCATCAAATAACCGTTTTGCTGAAAAGTTTGCAGCCAGAGTAAGTGTGTGTGCAGCCCAGGGCTTGATTGCACGCTCTATAAATCCTTAGGTGGGGAAGAAATTTCTGATGGCAGATGACTCTTTAATCTAGCAGAAGATGCCCAAGCAAGGGCCAGCATCTGGATACTAAAGTTTGCCAAAATCAGACTCGAAATAAGATGTGAATTTTCAACAGGGCAATCAACTGTTCGAACAACTTCCCCAGGATGTGGTGGATTCTCCATCACTGATGTTTTTAAATCAAGAATATCTTTTTAAATGCCTGTCTATATCTCAAACAGAAGTTATGGCCTTGCCTTGTTGCATTAATTACTGGGGGCGGGAGGCGTCTCTGGCTTGTGTTACACCGGAGGTCAGACCAGATGATCACAGTGGTACTTTCTGGCCTTTAAAATCTAGGCCTAGGACTGGCACAGTAGGATCTGCTACAGGTCAGGATGGAGGCGGTTTGAAGGGCTGCTTGCAATACACTTGAACGTTGCCAGTGATACCTACCCGAGTAGGTGAATCCATCCCAAAATTGAAAGACAGCTGGTGGGGAAATGCATAGAAACAGCTGCAAAACCAGAACCTTGGCACTATGGATCCTTCTAAAGTAGCCGGCCCCGTGTACTCACCGTATACAGTATGGAGCCCCAGCCGATCAGATAGTGCCGGTGGAGGTGTGAAACCACAAACTTCGGATGCGCTAAGACAATGGTGAGCCACACAAAATCAAGGGAGTTCTCTTCCAGCATTTCCCGCCCTGCAGGACGAGAGAAAAGCCTTGAATCACGCTAGCCATAAACAGATCCATTGGCAATCGGCTGCATTTGCACAGTGTCCTTTGACCTATAATGCAGTCACTGACACAGTTAAGAGAAGCTCCTCTGGGTAGACACGCATCAGCAATCTTCAAAGGCAAGGGCAGTGGGTGGCTTCCTACTACAGGAACCCTTTTGCTTGAAGGTTACAGGTTCAAATCTCACCCAGGTGGGTAGTGACAGAATCTTGTCACAAGCTATCCACTACCCTAAGTTGGAGATTTACTGTCCCTATCACAGCAATGACCACTTTGATTGGCACTAACTGGCCTCAACAGGGCGAGGATCAAACAGGCCAAAGATTTAATGCTTCTCTCCCGCTCAAGGTGGATCTCTCCAGGTCAAAGCAGATCTCCTTATAGAGGTCAATACGCTGCTGCCCAAACCGGACATGTGGGCTGAGAAAAGGCAACAGCCCCAACATCCTGCTCTCTTCACTAGACCTCACTTCCATCCTACAGTTGGGAATAAAACAGGGGACTTGTGACTCCCAGTCCCCCCTGCTCTAACCTACTAGATCCACTCCCCTCCCAGGGTTGGGAACAGAACCCAGGAGTCCTGTTACCCAGTCCCTTCTGCTCTAATCACTAGACACCACTCCCCTGCTAAGACTAGAACCTAGGAGTTCTGACCCCATGGCTTTCCCAGACCTGGGAACAGAACTCAGGAGACCAGTTTCCCAGCTCCCCTGCTCTAACCACTAGACACCACTCCACTCCCAGAGCTGGGGATAGAAACCCCTCTTAAGGGAGAAAGTTTTGCCTAGTGGATAGAGGGCAGGACTGAGACTCAGGAGACCTGGGCTCTATGAGGTAACCTTGAACGAGTCCATTCCCCTCTCTGTGCCTTGGTTTCCCCATCTGAAATATGGGGATAATGTTACCGCCCTCCTTTGTGAAGCACTTTGAGGTGTACAGATGAAAAGCGCTAGGTATTATTATTATTATTGATGGCCAGTCCCCCTGCTCTAACTCAGGAGAAGCCGGCTCCTCTGATCTCCTGCAAATTCATCTAGCCGTTAAAATCCCATTATTTTCACATCGTTTCCCAAGACCCCCTGCTCTTACTGCTTTCTCTCGTCAACCTGACGCTCAGGAACACCGAGAAAGAATAGACGTTATTTTTGTCCAGGTAAATCTTGCTGGGCAGCTCGTTATTGGGCTGCAGGTCGTAGATCTTCAAGTAGCTCTCCATGTTGACGTAGACACCTCCGGAGGAGTTGCCGTTGCTTGCTACGTAAAAGAAATATTCCTGAAAAAAGAGAGGCGGATTTACTCTCTACCAAGCCTAATCTATTAATATGCATTAAGCACACACTATCAGTATAACATTATATGTATATTTCGAGCAGTGACATGGACTAATTTGGCCTATGTCTTTCTATAATCCTGTTCATGGACGCTCCCGGAACACCTTGCGTTAGCTGAATTAAGCTTCAGTGTAGGCAGATAGGAAAACGGCTGGGAACAGGACACATGGGTGTTGGTTACTTGAAATGTGTGTTAACTGCTTATGCTAAACCAGAGGTGGGCAAACTACAGCCTGTGGGACCGTCCTGCCCAGCCCCTGAGCTCCTGGCCTGGAGGCTCGCCCCCCCGGCCCCTCCTCCACTGTTTCCCCTCCCCTGCAGCCACGCCACCACATGGGCAGTGGGGCTGCGAGCTCCTGCCGCTCTGAGCGGCTTGGTAAGGGGGCAGCGGCGCGCATGGGGCAGTGACGGGGTTGGGTAGGGGTCCCGGGGTGCAGTCAGGGGACAGGGAGCAGGGGGCGGTTGGATGGGGCAGAGGTTCTGGGGCTGTCAGGGAACGGGGGAGTTGGATAGGGCATGGGAGTCCCAGGGGACCTGTCAGGGGGCTGGGGTGTGGATAGGGGTCAGGGCAGTCAGGGGACAGGGAGCGGGGGGGGCTGGGATCCTTGGGGGCGGTTCGCAGTGGGGGGGTCCCAGGAGGGGGCAATCAGGGGACAAGGAGCAGGGGGGGTTGGATGGGTCGAGGGTTCTGAGGGGGACAGTCAGTGGGTGGGAAATGGGAGGGGGCAAATAGGGGGCGGAGGCCAGGCTGTTTGGGGGGGCACAACCTTCCCTACCCAGCCCTCCATACAGTTTCGCACCCCGATGTGGCCCTCGGGCCAAAAAGTTTGCCCAGCCCCGTGCTAAACAATCCATTCCGCTGTGTGTTTAGCTGTGACGCAGAGTCTGTTTCCCAGCCCTGCAGAAGAACTCTGGATGAGCTCAAAAGTGTGTCTCTCTCACCGACAGGAGTCCGTCCAATAAACAGTATCACCTCCCCCACCTTGTGTCTCTCTTCCCATAGTAACAGGCAGGGAGTTATTTGCACACCCAGCCACGGCATGTCCCAAAGGAAAAGGACACGACATATGATTGTGTTACCCTGGTACAAGGTGAGGAAGTGCCATCACGCCCCTTGGTATCTGAAATGCATGTGTTCAGAACAAAGAGAGAAGCTGCAAGCCCCGGTGCGCCATGCCCCACAGCAGAAGCCCGGAGTCCCGAATGGGGGGGACATGGGATATGGGGAAAGCGGTGGACTTGATATATCTTGACTTTAGCAAAGCTTTTGATATGGTCTCCCACAGTATTCTTGCCAGCAAGTTAAAGAAGTATGGATTGGATGAATGAACTATAAGGTGGATAGAAAGCTGGCTAGATTGACGAGCTCAACAGGTAGTGATCAACAGCTCGATGTCTAGTTGGCAGCCGGTATTAAGTGGAGTGCCCCAAGGGTCGGTCCTGCGGCCGGGTTTTTTCAACATCTTTGTCAATTATCTGGATGATGGGATGGATTGCACCCTCAGCAAGTTCGCAGATGACACTAAGCTGGCGGGAGAGGTAGATATGCTGGAGGGTAGGGATAGGGTCCAGAGTGACCTAGACAAATTGGAGGATTGGGCCAAAAGAAATCTGATGAGGTTCAAGAAGGACAAGTGCAGAGTCCTGCACTTAGGAAGGAAGAATGCCATGCACCACTAGAGGCTGGGGACCGCCTGGCTAAGTAGCAGTTCTTAGCCAAGATGGTGAGGGACGCAATCACATGCTCTGGGTGTCCCTAAACCTCCAGCTGCCAGAAGCTGGGGATGGATGACAGGGGATGGATCATTCGATTATTGCCCTGTTCTGTTCATTCCCTTTGAAGCATCTGGCACTGGCCACTGTCAGAAGACAGGATACTGGGTTAGATGGACCATTGGTCTGACCCAGTATGGCCGTTCTTCTGAAGGCTGGCCAGGTATACCAGTGATCAAGGCACTCCACACCTCCCTCCCCTGGGCCCAGACCTGGTGGAGGGGGAGGTCCCAGGTCCCCCTTCCTTCCCCACCCTGTCTATCCAGGGAACAGACTGTCAGTTGGCCCACTGGCCATCAGACAAGCCCAGCTCCAGGACGTTGGGGCTGGAAAGACTGTTGAGCCACGGCCTGCCCATTAGCCCTGCTGGCCTCCAAGTGAAACCTGCTACAGCCTCAGCAGTGTGCGGGGGCTTCCTGGCAGCCTTTCTGCTGGGCCCAACCTTCAGCTTGCCCCGAGTCGCACAGCTGAAGCTACTGGCTCCTCCTCCCACCTCCAGAGCTCCTCAGGTCCAACAAGACCCAGAGCCGGCTCGGTGCAACTGCAAACCCTGCAGCTACAGGGAGCTCCGAGATCAAGGGCCGCAGCAGAGCCGTGAGGCAGGGACCGCATGGGAAATTCCTTCCTGTCACCAGATATATAATGCTGATTTATTCCCTAGGGAAGATTATAATCTTACAGACTTATTCCAACCCATGGCTACTACAGGCCCAAGTCTGCCACCTTCTGACTTTCAGGGCTCACTACCACAGGCAAGAAAAGTTCTTATTCATTACAACTGTTTTTGAAACATGGCCAATCTACCTTCTCTGTCCCACCTTTGGGGAGGAATTTATGAAGATGGGATGGAGGTACCCAAACTAAAATCTATCCAGGCTCTCAGAGTTTACAAATCTGTTTAGAAAAGAATACAACACAATTTAGAAGAGGAACCAAGCCCCTTAATTTGATCTGTTGGGTTTTTTTTGTCAAAAAGGAAAGTTCAGAATCTTTTCTTACTGCATATTTCTTTCTGTTCTTCCACCAGCGCCAAGTTGGGTCGTGGACCGGGTCAGCATAAGGCTAAAAGAAAATCAAGGGCGTGCTAAATTACACGTCATCTGAAAACGCAATATTTTCTCATCTGAAAATTACGTGTCCCTGTTGTGGATTATCCGCATCTTTCTTGGATAGTCCCTGTTACTTGCGGGAAAGTCCACATCCCTGAGCAAGGCAGTTATACAACCTCCTTCCCGGGGTAAACAGCACTAGTTCTGCCCCAATCTCAGAACTTCCAACCTTCCTACCTAGCGCTGTCGAGACAAGGAACTTTCCTCTCAGCCCATCACCAGAACGCAGCTGAGGGCTGACAAGAACTCACCCTGCTATAGTCTGCATGCAGCCAGAGCAGCTGGAAGATCAGTCCCTGGTATACAGCCAGAGACACGTTGTTGTGGAAGCCTGTGCTGTCCATGACATCCGGCGGTTCGGAGCAATAGTGCTCTGTCCGGGTGAAGCGCTGGGGGGCTGGGAGGTCCACGAGGTGCATGACCGAGAAGGAGCAGGGATGGATGAACCTGATGTACTGAGCATTGCTGAGGGAGAAACGGGGAGACAGGAACAGAGTGTAGGTTGGCACCAAAATGCAGTGGTTCTTCACAAGGTTGGCGGTGCTCTGGCATGTTGCAGTGGACTGGGCGGTGGGGTGGAGCCTGTGTGCTGGATGGAATCAGAATCTTTCAGCTGTGTGTCATGCGTCCTATACTGCTAATAGCTAAGGGGAGTTGCAGGATCAAGGCTAAACACAGAACAAGCCTTGAGGCTGACTTGGAGATTTTGAGGTGGCGCTGCACCCATGATCTGGCCTGATGTGTACAGCTTCAGGGCCCAATCCTGCCCAGATCTGAGCATTCTGAGCTCCTGGGGACCACTCCCAGGTGCTGAGCAGAAGGCAGGATCAGGCCCCTAGGATCTCAATCCAAGGGACACAGTGCTGCCTAGCAGGTAGAGCACTGGATCTGGACTTGGGAGCACAGGTGCCAACTTTCTCATGTGCTGGAGGGTGCTCGACCCCTGGCTTTGCCCCAGACCCTGCCCCCACAGCACCCCTTCCTCCAAGGCCCTGTCCCCACCCCCCTCTTCCCACTCCCGCTCCCCGCCCCGCCCTGCCTCTTCCCGTCCGTCCCGTTCTGCCCCCTTCCCCCAGCGCACCACGCCCTCGCTCCTTCCCCACCCTCCCCAAGCCTCCTGCACGCCACGAAACAGCTGATGGCAGCAGATGGTAGGTGCGGGGAGAGAGAGGGAGGCACTGATCGGCGGGGCCTGCCAATGCGCGGCAGACACCATTTTCCCCCATGAGTGTTCCAGCCCCGGAGCACCCACGGAGTTGGCGCCTATGCTTGGCAGATTTGGTTTCTATTCCCGGAGCTGCCGCTGCTTTGCTCGGTGACCGCGGGCTAGTCCCATCCCTGCTCTGTGCCTCAGTTCCCTCCTCTGTAAAACAGGGTAGGGAGAGTGCTCTCCTTTGTAAAGCCCGTCTTTTGCCACTACTCACTGGAAATACACCGAACGGTACTGATTGACGATGAGGAGCTGGTACGACAGTATGTAATGGAGAGGGAAGTTCCTCTTGATCAGCTTTCCCTCCCCTTGTCCATCCATTATGTAAACCAGCTGAAAGGAGAGGCAAGAGCAGAAAACACCGGGGACAGGTGGAGTTCAACCCCTGCTATTCAGGAGAAGAGGAAAGAAGCCATTGCCAGCTGGCAGCTGAAACTAACACCCATGTGTTGCCTCTTGTTTTCTGTCTTTTTGTCCTGGTCCTTGCCTGTGACTGGGAGCCTTGGGGCTACGCAATACAAATAAATAAATAAACAGTAGCACCCATGGAAAAGCTGAAGAGAAACTGAATCATGTAGCTCAGGAGTAGGCAACCTATGGCATGTTGCCAAAGGCAGCAAGCGAGCTGATTTCCAGGGCACTCACACTGCCTGGGTCCTGGCCACCGGTCTGGGGGGCTCTGCCTTTTAATTTAATTTTAAATGAAGCTTCTTAAACATTTTAAAAACTTTATTTACTTTACATACAATAGTTTAGTTATATATTATAGACTTATAGAAAGAGACCTCCTAAAAACGTTAAAATGTATGACTGGCACACGAAACCTTAAATTAGAGTGAATAAATGAAGACTCGGCCCACCGCTTCTGAAAGGTTGCCGACCCCGATGTAGTCCAAGGAGGAGGAGTTTCAAATGCAGGGGTAAGGGCTTTGCTTGGTAGCTCTGGTTTGCTGTGTGTGTGCATGAGAGAGGCCCTGGACAAGAGCTGACGCAGTGAGAGAAAGCCAGGCGGACTGGAACAAGCTGGTAAGGGGGCCCTGAGAGAAAGCTGCGCGGGGACTGGGTGCGGGCTGGAAAGAAGCCTGGGTCTCCTGCTGGTTGTTTCCTATGGTGTTCAAGGAAACAAGGCCTTTGTGCGTTCCGTGCAAATGAACGAACTTTCTGCAAAGACAAAGCTCGACTAGCGCCAATTTCTCCTGCTAATTGGAACAAGCCAGGACACCTGGAATTTTTACCTGGCTGCTCGGGTCAGACCTGGTTGGGGGTCATTTTCTTCATCTAGAGTGGGAGCAAAGGATGCTCAGCACAGCCCGGGGAGCATGTGGAACCTTGTTAAATACCAACAGATCTAGGCTGCACCATGTCAGCTTGAGCCTGACAATTTACGGTCGAACTGCAGGTGGGAAGGAGAGTGGGTCTGGTTCTTCTGTGCTGGAGGGTTTTGTGGCTACATGGGGCAGGTGCAGTTATGAGGCCCCCTGAATCCAAGTGGGAATCAGGGCTCAGAACCATGTGGAAATGGGACGGCGTTTGGCTTCCGGATCGGCCACGGCCATAACCTGTGTGGCCATCCCCCTTAAGGGTGGGATGGCTTGGCAGCTCTCCCTTGTGTGAGCATTGCAGGTGCCTCCTGCTTCTGATCTCATTTACACGGGTGCAACTCAGGAGTAGCCCCATTCATGTAAATGGAATTACTCCACGTTGGGATCAGGGTAAAGCCCTGAAGGTGGAAGGCCTGCCTCTATGCCCAGAGCAGATGCCCCACACTCACCACCGTGTTTCAGATGTAACCTGGAGGAAGCTTGATCTCTAGGGTGTCTGCTAATGAGGGGGCCAATTCTGTGGCTGCTTGGCCCTGGAAACTGGGCTGAGATGGCTCATTAATCCACTGGCCAATCAGCAGCTGTCAACGGCTTCCCAGCACTATAGACCAGGGCTAGATTCAAACGTCTACAGACCATTAACCACCCCCTGCGCCGCCCACCCTGTGACTTCTGCTGCCCGGGCTCACCTGCTGCAGTCCCTCCTTGTTAAAGAAGAGGCTCACAAATGACTCATTCAAGCTAAAGTCCTTTGACTCTCTCATTAGCTGTAGGCTGAGGTACGTGTCCCAGGCTTCGGAGGGGTGAAGCCGACTGACGACCGAGCTGCCTTCCACAGAAAACCAGATCTGGAGAGCCAAATGGAGCCAAATGTGAAGAGCAGGCAAAGGGAGCAGAAATCTCTGAAGGTGTCCCTGGAGGGGACTTTCCAAAGGAGCTGCTACATCCCTGCTGCTGAGATGTTGTCACCTCTGCAGCGATGGAGCGTGGCAGCTGTTTATACAGAGCTCACTCATCCAGCACAGAGTTCCTCTCGAGTGGGGAGAGAGTGCAGTCTAATGGTGAGCACAGCCCCCCCACAGGACTCCTGGGTTCTATGTGCCCTCTGGTGTGCAAGGTCTTTGCTCTCTCTGTGCTTCACTTTAACCACTCGTACAGGGATAAGAATATTTAGCAGCTCTTCGAAAAGGTTAGGAGGCAGCGTTAGTGACCGAATAGTGTCCTGAGATCCTCAGATGAAAGATACTACACAAAAAGGCAGCCATCCATGACACTGCCTACCACTATCTCATCAGGAGACCGCAAAGCAAGTCAGTACCATTATCCCCATTTTACAGATGGGGAAACTGAGGGTACATCTACACAGCAAAGAAAAACCCATGGCTGTCCTGTGCCAGCTCACTTGGGCACACGGGGCTGTTTCATTGTAGTGTAGACAACTGGGCTGAGGCTCTGGGACCCTCCCACTTCACAGGGTTCTACAGTGCTGGCTCGAGCCTGAGCCAAGACATCTACACAGCAGTGAACCAGCCTGAGCCCCGAGAGCCTGAATCAGCTGGCCCGGGCCAGCTGCAGGGGTCTAGTTGTCATATATACCCTATGACACAAAGAGGTGACATTATTCACTCCAGGTCACTCAGCGACCGAGCCAGGAATAGACCCCAGCTTGCCCAAGTCCCAGGGCAGCGTTCTATCCCCTAGGCCAGTGGTCTCCAAAGTGGGGTGCGCCAGAGGATCCCAGGGGGTGCGCGGCAGGAGGAGCGCCGCCGGACGGCACGCCGCTGTTTTTTTCTTCGGCAGCAGCTCTGCACGCCTGCACCTGGTCCTCCCCTCCAGCAGCATGCCTGCGGAAGGTCTCCCCGTCTTCTTTCTTCAGCGGCACGCCTACAGCAGGTCTTCCACTCTTCTTGCTTCAGCGGCACGCCTGCGGTAAGTCTTCCCCTCTCCTTTCTTCGGCGGCACCATGGGGGTGCACGATCCAAAAACTTTGGAGACCATTGCCCTAGGCCACGCTGCATCCAGTCAAACAAAGCACCTGCCTGATCCACCCAAGAGTCACGCCACCATACCTCCTCCGAGTCTGTCACAAACACGACTTCCCCTACATACGACAGAATGAAGTAGCTGATGGGGGACTCTTGTGGGAAGCCGGAGAGAAGAATGTAATTAACCAGGTCGTAGCTGCATGGAAAGCACAGGGGAAGCGGGAAACATTACACTCCATTGCTTTCGTTCCCCTTTCATTCTCTCCCAGAGGTGAAAAGCCTGGTAGTAAAACCATTGCATTTGGCCCTGTCTCTGGGTATGGGTCTCCTGGCAGACAGTGGCCCTTCCGGTCTGTCCCCTGATCTGTTACATTTGTACTAGCTCTAATGTGATTGTTTTGCAATGGTCATGTAATTCCCCACACAGCTCTGCCAATGCGCCACAGGGTGAAACCCACCCCCTGAGCAGGCAAAAGCCTCGGGTAGGACATGAATTCCATTTCAGCCGTATTGGAAGTGCAGTGCATACTTTGTGCTGACACTCTGCACGGTAGGTGAATTGCATCCTCGGGGTGCTGTGCAAATCCGGAGGGATCTTGTGGACCGATGCAATTGAGATCAGAATTGGGTCCAGAGCTTTGGGTCAAGATTCTTTGAAACAGTGATTTTGAGTGCCCCAGTTTTGGGGCTGATTTTCAAAGCAAACACAGGGCAGAGGGGGTTTCACTTTCTGAAAATCAGACCTCTTTACGGTGCCTCCGGCCGGGCCCCTGCAATCACTCCTCTCCTGAAAATCTTCACCTTGGTTTTTAAAACATCTCATCTGAAGGACCCAAGCATGGCACTTGACTGACCCACTTCGCACTGCTGGGGCGAGCTGTGATTCTGAGGCCCCACCTAACACCCTAGTCCTGCAGCTGGGTTCCATGTGCACCTACTTCCTAATGCATGTGGATGGTGCAGGTTGTAATAACTGGGCCTAGAAATGTACCCGAGTTGTGGGTTCAACTCTAAAATGTAAATGGGAAAAGGAATGGAAGGTAGGCAGACTGAATTAGCCCAGGGGAATGGCGGACTGATATAACTGAAGGAGTGTGTTAAAATCATGCCTGGTAAACTAGCAAAGCATGGAACCAACTCATCAGTTGCCTCCCTGAAAACCAGAGATCGATACAGACTTTGTTCTCACCTTTGTAATACAACATTGCCCCAGATGTAGAAGATTGTGCTGAATGGGTTATAGGACAGCCCTCTTGGGATCAGCAGGGAATCCGTGTATTCTTCCAGCCCCAGCAACATCACAAACCCTTTCCCAGTGTCTGCAAAGGACAGGTGGGAGAAACCTGGTCAGAGTGGGTCTTCTGTAGGAGCCATGAGGTCGGAGTTCAGAGAAGAGCAGCAAGAGAAAAAGTTCAGGCTGCAAGGAGATTTTCTGGGTATTCGCAAAAAGAAAAGGAGTACTTGTGGCACCTTAGAGACTAACCAATTTATTTGAGCATGAGCTTTCGTTAGCTACAGCTCACTTCATCGGATGCATACCGTGGAAACTGCAGCAGACATTATATACACACAGAGATCATGAAACAATACCTCCTCCCACCCCACTGTCCTGCTGGTATTGGGGTATTTCTGGGTATTGTTACACTGAAAGTTGCTAATGGCTGGCATGGGGTAAGGCTTTGATCTAAAGACAATCCTGGGCCTCATTAAAGCCAACAGGAGGGCCAAGCAGTCTTTCAGACTCAATGGACACAGTAGTTGAGTCTCTTTAAGTAACAGAGAGCTACAAACGGGGAGGGACCACCCAAGCCATGGGGCAGGTCAAAGGCGGGGATTGCCTGGCTGCCAAGGCAGGGGCTAGAAGATTAGTTTGCAGTCTGTGTGTTGGAGGAGAAAACCAAGCAAAGCACTTGTGAGCACAAACATTAGGAGGAAGCAGAGAGACACTGATTCTTGGGCACAGAGCCCGCTGGAGGGGCAGATGTGTGGACTTTGGAGCAAGGAAAGCTGCCTGCTGCTGTCTGTTTCACCTGTGCTCAGGGAAACTAGATTTTGTGGGCACTCTAAAAAAAAAGAACAGGAAGACTTGTGGCACCTTAGAGACTAACAAATTTATTTACATAGAGAACATGAAACAATGGGTGTTACCCTCCAGACTGTAACATCCATTGTTTCATGTTCCCTGTGTATATAAATCTCCCCACTGTATTTTCCACTGCATGCATCTGATGAAGTGAGCTGTAGCTCACGAAAGCTTATGCTCAAATAAATGGGTTAATCTCTAAGGTGCCCCAAGTCCTCCTGTTCTTTTTGCGAATACAGACTAACCCGGCTGCTACTCTGAAACCTAAAAAAAAAGGTTGCACCAAGAACAGACCTGATTCCTAGCACTGATTTCTCCTCATAATGAGCTCTGCAAGGCTAATGCTCAGGTCAAAGAGGCACCATTACTCCTGTTACAGAAACACCTAAGAACTGCCATAGAGATCAGGGCCACATTGCACTAGGGGCTACACAGTCATGTAACAAAGAAGACAAGCTTGCCCAGAGAGCTCACAATCTAGGATCTGTGACACAAAAGCTGGTAGCTATGCTGGCTCTGATTCACCGCTGTGTTGCTCTTGGTTTGATGAGTGGAACTTTGTCAACATGGTGTAAAGCAGGAGTTTCGCAGTGGTGAACTAGGCTTGTAGAGGTGGGATAATCAGAGGGGGAGATGAGGGGCTTGTATATACATGGTAGCTATTTTGCAATAGCTAATTCCGGTCAATTTCCCCATGGACACTCATTCCAGAATAAGAGTTCCTTTTTTTGCTTGTCTACACGGGGACAATCAGGAAAGTTAATCCAAATTAACTTCCAATGTGAATTAGTTAAAATGCATGAAGCCCCTGTGTGGATGCTCTTAATCTGAATTAAAGTGAGGCCACGTCTACACTATGGGGACGATAGTAGTGTATTTTTTCACATCTCCGAGCGCCATAGTTGTTGACAAAAATTTGCAGTGTAGACCAGGCCTGACTCTAATTTCACTTTGGAAGTGAGTTCAGTGAATCCAAATGAAGGCCACTTTTATTCTGAATCAGAGCATCTGCACGGGGATTTAATGCGCTTTAACCAAGTGCTTGTCAGTACAAACAGGCAGCTTGTGGTGTAAACCTATCCCCCACTAGCCTGCTGTACACTAACTCTCCATGTGGACCCTGCTGTCTCGCTCCAAAAATTCCCTCGTGCACTTCTCCCCTTCAAAGCCATAGACAGACTGAGAGAGAGGCTGGGCAGAGCCCTGCAGGGAACAATCATGCTCTGGGTTTGCAGGGGGTGTGGACTGGGAGGGCCGGCTGCACTTTCCAATCTATGGCGTCTATCAGGATATCTCTGCCTCTCCGATCAAAGCCTGTTAGAACGTTCCAAGGTGGGTTCTTACCTTTGGGTATGAAGCGAGGTAAGTGGTACAACATCCTGAAAGCTGCATTGACTATGAACAAACAAACATGGGACGAGTTACAGCAGTGTCTGTTTATTATGTGAACTCATCTTGTTAAATCTTTGTATGTACATGGCCTCCTGTTACCATAGAATCACAATCTTTCATGCGTTTAGCCCCACAGCACCCTGGGAGGTAGGGCAGTGCTATTATCTCCACTGTGCAGATGGGGAAACCGAGCACAGAGCAGCTAAGTGACTCACCCACGATCACATGGGGAATGTGTGCCTCCACGTGTACACTGCTATTTTTAGCCATGCTAGTATCGGTTAAGCTAGCGCAGGTATGTCTACCCAAGCTGCAATCACACCCTGGGTCGCAGTGAAGACACACTCTTAGTCCTGACCTAGAAAGATGACTTCTAATGGGCAGTTCAGTCCCTGTCACCATTTTGTCCTTGGCCTCTCTGCTGAGGCTGGGGCCGTTTGCAGTGATAGGAACAGTTATTCACCAGGGGCTGGACTGGCTGATAGCCATTCAGTAGACAGTAATCATTTTCATTTGCTACTGACCTTGGCTGGAGCTGAACCAATAATCTAGGTGGGAAAAGGCAGCCCCAGAGCCGTTCAGTTCTCCTCCATGGTCCAGTTATTAGATCATCACCATCACACCTGAGATAAACCAACACCTTCTGCGAGGGCTAACTCCCTCCTGAGGCCCTTCCCTGCTGAGCAGTGGGGCTGGCAGGATCTGACAACACATTCTGCCCACACCGCCCCGACACAGCCCGCTTAGGGACCCGATTCCCTACACATGAACCTTAGCGTCGCTCCACGGACTTCAGTGGAATGACACTGATTCACAGCAGCTGGCTTTACGTTTGTATCGGTACAGAACGACAGCCTGACCTTGATCGTAGGCCACGATGTAGTAACTGGACTCGTTCTTTTTCTTCTCTTCCACCAGCAGCACAATCTTCTCCTCTTCCGTGATGTAGACGGCCCAGAGGATCGTGCAAGAAACTGAAAGTGGAGAGAGAGAAAGAGAGAGCCAGCAAAATCTTTCCAAACTGCTCTTTCTAAATATTTCTGTGGCTATGATTTTGAATAAGCAACAGTCTCCTCGTACAACCTGTCACTGCTTCATTGTACCAGTGTTCCAGATGAGGAGTCAGTGTTCCAGAATTGCACCAGTGTTCCACTGTACCAGTGCCACAGAACTGGAGCCAGAGTTCCAGGTGAGGTCATCTGGAATACTGGCTCCAATTCTGGTCCCCCATGCTCAAGAAAGATGGATTCAAATGGGAACCGGTGTAGAAGAAGGGCTCCGAGGATGATCAGGGGACTGGAGAGCCGATCTCTTGAAAGGAGAGAAAGCTTGTTTTGCCTGGCAAATGGCAAGCTGAGGCTATGTCTACACTTAAAATGGGAGGGGTTCTCCCATCACTGTAGTCAATTCACCTCCCGTAGAGGCAGCAGCTAGGAAGAATTCTTTTGTTGAGCTAGCACTGTCTACACTGGGGGAGAGGTGAGCTGGACATGGTCTCTCAGGGGTGTGGGTTTTTCACACAGAGCCATGACGATATAAGTTTTCAGTGTAGACTAACCCTGAGAGGGGATTGGATTGCTTTCTGTAGCGATGGCATCGGAAATGGAGGAGGAGAACATGTCCAGGAGGCTGGAGATGAGAAGAAGGTGTCTAACCCTCTGAGGAGGGAACAGCCTCCAGATAGGAGCGGTGAGGGGCAAAGAACCTAACTGGCTGGAGGATGGAGCTTGGCTGGTGTCTGACCGGGGTGATATGGCAGGGTGTGCTCCTCTGATTCAGGGAGGCTGCAGCAGCTGCGGAGCTGGCTCGCATTTTGTGGTTTAAATAATTTTTTACTCCTGCAGCTGGGAGCTGGGGCCTTTGTTCATGGATTTGTTTGGGGATTCACGGTTGAGCCTTTTCTCTGTAACAGACCCTCCCTCCCCCAATTAATCCCAACACAATGGGAGTCTGTTGAACTTCAGCCCCAGGACCTTAACAGCCAGGCTCTCTACCCCAAGTTCGAACAGCCAGTCAATGGCAGGGTTGAGAATTGACACAGGAGTCCTGACTGCCTTCCAGCCCCACTGCTCCAATCACTAGGCCCCACTCCCTTTCCAGAGGTGGAAACAGAACCCAGGGGTCCTGAATCCCACCCCCTCTGCTCCAACCACTAGACCCAAATGTTATAATTTTGTGAGGCTCTTGCACAGCACCACATAAACGTTGAGCCAGAACCTCAGCCAGTGTAAATCAGAACGAAGCTAAATATGCCTATTTCAATGGCACTGCAGCCAATATATATCATGATGCTGGGGGTCTGGCCCCACTGAGTCCAGTGGAGCAGCTCCCATTAATACCAGCTGGGGACCCTGAGGAACACAAGGACCCAAAAGGCACGTACTCTTCAAATATTCGCACACTCTCTTCCTCCCCTTGGCGTGTGATTCGGGAAACTGAACGACTCCATCTGGAGGGGAGAAAAGAGCTGCAGGGTTTCAGCCAGTCGGGCCAGTGGCCCCCAACACATACGTGCAAAAGTGGCGTAGCCAGCATGGGATATTTGGGTGGGCCCTGACTTTGGGTGGGTGAGCAGTTATAGGGGGCTGGGAGGGCAGGAGGGATGGGGGGCCCTGCAGGTGGCTTTGCGCGGGGCGATGGATAGACCCTTTGGCCAGGGGCTCCCCACGGCCCGGGGTGCACATGCAGCTCCGAGAAGAGACACTGCTCTCCAGCGTGCATGGTAGGGTGACCAGAGGTCCTGATTTTATAGGGACAGTCCTGATATTTGGGGCTTTGTCTCGTATAGACACCTATTACCCTTCACCCCCTGTCCCGTTTTTTCACACTTGCTATGTGGTCACCCTAACGCACGGCTCCCGGCTCCCTTAGGTGGCTGGCCTACCTTTTTTGAAGATCTCCTCTACCGCCACCGGCTGCCCGCTCGCTCGCTCACCCTCCTCCCAGTGGCGGATTAGCCACTGGGCCAACCGGGGGGCCCGGAAAATGGGTGCTCCCGCACCCCACCCGCTCAGTGTTCCTGTCAGGGAGCGTGGTGGGAGCGTAGGGGCTTGCTCCACTCCGCCCACCTGCCTGGCATTCTAGCCAGGGTGCAGGGTCTTGCCCCGCTCCACCCACCCAGCCCCGGCAGCAGTGCCAGGCGGGTGGAGCAAGGCCCCGTGCCCTGACCCCGCTCCCCGGTTGGAGCACCGGGCAGGTAGGAGGAGCGGGTCAAGTGCTTGGGCCAGAGCAGAGCCGGGGCTGGGGGGTGGGTCTGGATGCTAAGTGGGTGGGCTATCGCCCACCTATGGCTACACCCTTGGCATGCAGTTGGCTTGTACCTGTCAATTACTCAGCACCTTAGCTGCCTCCTAGCTAAGGCACCAGAAGGAAGGATGGCCTTCTGGTTCAGGCTGGGACTCAGGAGATCTGACCCTGGGCTAGTCGCTGCATCTACCAGGGCCTCAGTTCCCCACGTATAACGTGGGGATAATAGTCCCTTCCATGTCTGCCTTGTCTCTCAATGTGTGTCCGAGCAGCACCTGGCACAACGGGCCCCTGATCTCAGTTGGGGTCTGTGCAGTGCCCAGCATGATGGGGGCCCAAATCTCAGATGTGGTCTGTGCAGCGCCTGGCACAATGAGGGGCCTATTACACACAATAATAATAACAGATATGGCCCTTCAGGCAATGCAAGTTGCAAAACTTTAACAGCTGCCACTTATTTGTCTGCAGGGTGGGCTCTTCTCCCCTGGCTATCAGTCCAGCTCCCTTCACCAGCACTAAATGTGGCACCAGCTGCTGCCCGTGCAAAGGGGCTGGAGCAATAAACATTCTAAGGGGGTGGCTGCCAATCTGTGGGACACTGGATCAGGTCCTCAGCTGGTGTGAAGCAACAAAGCTCCCGGGGCGAATTATCTGGCCCGCACGTCATACCGCGAATGGTGCCAAGGAAGAATTCTCCTTCGTGCATGCCCCCTCCTACAGCAATCACATACTCTGAGCCGTTGTGGGGGAAATGAACAGGGTTTAACTGTGACACGCAGATGTCGTTCAGCACACGGGTCCAGACGCCTAGAGAGAAGAGAGAGACTCTGTCTTAGGTCATGTGGCCCCATCACCATGGCAGCTGAGCATCTCCAGTCTTTGATGCACTGATCCTCAAGGTACCCCTATGCTAGCATTCCTGTGTTGCAGACGGGGAACTAAGGTCCAGAGAAGCTAAGTGAAGCCCCAGGTAACAGAAGAACTCGGTGACAAAACAGGGAATTAAACTGGTGTTTCCCACCTCCCAGGCTGGTTCCCCAACCACTAGATCACCTTCCCCTCTGGGTAGGGAAGCTGATGGGTCTTGGCCATCTCTGGCTTCTCTTACCAGATCCCGGCACACGAGGAGAAAGGACCGAATAGTTCCCAGTGAAGTAATAGACCAGCTGGTTCTGACGGATGAAGAGCACACTTTCCATAGCGATGGCATCGTAAATGGAGGAGGAGAACATGTACAGGGGGCAGTTCAGGGACCCAATCCAGCAGCTGTCGATCGCCACCTGAAGCACAGAAAGGACAAATGAGGGGCAGCGGGACCCATCCTGATCTCAGCTAGGGCCCAATCCTGCTCCCAGTTCAATTAGTGGTAAAGCTCCCAGGGCCTGCTCCTCCGTCTTCCTCCGTCTTCCTCCATCTTCCCCAGCCTTGTCATTGACACCAGTGCCAAGCGGGCATTCCCAGGTCCGAAAGGCAGCGTTTCACACTCACTTTGCACTGCTGTAAATAAATTCACAGCTTGGCACACTCTCCCTGGGGACCCTTCCTGGGTCTGGCCCACAGTTCTGCTCCAGCTGCCCCACAGCTGTGTCTTGTTTACCTGCTGTTCTCTCTGCCCAGCTCTGTAATCTTCTTTTGAGGGAGATGATCATGCACCATTTTTCTGACTGTTCCTTTTGGCTACCTTGGTTTTTACTGCTGTAAATCACTTGTTGCAAAACACTCCTGTTGCATTCAGTCCAGTGGAGGCCAGATCCGAATCTGGGATCTGGCCCAGCTTCTCCACTAAACAACCTGAGGCCAAATTCTCTGCTGGGGTAAACAGCTGTGATCAGTAGAGCTCTGCTGATTGACAACAGCTAAAGATCTGGTCCCTGACGTTTCACTGACAACGCAATGATCGTGTTTCCATGGAAGAAATCACTGTAGAAGGAAGGCCAGATTTCGACCTCATGGCAACTGCACGCCAGTGTAACGTTACTGACTGCAGGGGCATATCTCCTCATTTGCACCGAAGGGAATGAGATTGGAACCAGAGCTGGTGGCGAATATTGATTTAAGTGTGTAATAGGCTTCCGGATGAAAGGGGCAAAATAAATACATGTTACATTACTGTTGCTAAATCAAAAATAAGAGACCAGAAGCTAGGTTGCTGTTTTACTAGTTGCTGCTGTTTCACAACACGCCTCTCATCACAATACCACATTCCTCGCTGGATCTGGGAATAGAACCCAGGAGTCCTGACTCCCTGTCCCCTGCACTCACCACTAGACTAAACTCCCTCCCGGGGCAGCAATGGAACCCAGGAGTCCCGACTCCCAGGCTCCTTCTTCTATCTTCCCTTCCCTCTCTTGTAAACTGAGCCGATCGACTGTGAAATCAGAGCATACACATAAACACATGACATCATGGCAGCATTATCATCATAGGAGCCACTTTTCAGACAAGGACTCCGATTCTGATCTCTGAGCCTGCCACCCGTGTAAATCTGCAGTGACATCCCTCTACTTCAATGGGAAAGGGATTGAGCCCTAGCTGGCAGAGGCGTGCCATTGAACTGCCTTCTGAAGGGATCCAACCCCCCCTTCCCAGCTCTCTTTACCTCCACTGCAGTGAAATCCGCAAACTCCGAGTCTGAAACCAGAATGATTTTGTAAGCGTGGAATCCCCCGAGGATCAGCACGGGGGCTTGATTGAAGGTGGACCAAATGGGACGGGTCGGGCTGTACAGTGACATTACCTCCACCAGTGTTGTAACCTAGAACAGCAGTTCCAAACTTTCTACCACCGTCACCCACCAACTGCATTTGGGCTAGTTTTGCAACCCACACAGGGTCCAAATTTGTGAGGGGAGGCCCCCAAAATTATACACTAGCATCCTTCTTCTCCTTCGTTGCCACCTCCACCTTCTCCTCGCCCCAATGAAGGGGCACCAATCGCCCTCTGCAGCACCCTCTGCCCTGACACAGCAATTTCAGCCACTCCTCCAACATGCCTGGGCACCTGTGCGGGCCAAGACCCCCGTACCCCAGGTGGCAACACCCACGGGGGGGAACTGAGCCCAGCCCCATGAGACAGGAACCACTGCTGTGGGGTGAATACAGGGTGGACTTGCTGGGATAAAGTGGGAATTTTCTGTAATATTTTTATGAAGCTGATGTGTGCCTCAGTTTCCCTCATATTTCACATGGCGGTGCAGCCAGGGGTAAAAGAACTGTTTGCTCTCAGGGCAGGCTCAGAGACGTAGGTAGGGATGCTGTCTGAGCCTGAATGGGTCATTAACAGAAGGATAGGCTTGGCTGACCCCATATCAACGGAAAATCTTCTCAGGCAAACCCAATCACAGGACGTTGATGCTAGCAACCCCCAGCACGGAGGGAGATGGATTTTCCCACCTCTCAGCAGGGCAGCTAGGCAACATCCCCCAGCTGGAGAACAAAGAACTGGAGAGGCGGGAGGTGGGGGGAAAGGAGTGGCTGCTGGAATGAGCCAGGACTTTCCCTAGGGAATTGAGGGAGAGAGAACAGCACTTCAACATGGAGTCAGTTCTCTGGCTGCCCTAAGGACTTCCTGGGCTGTTCTGACTTAGCCGTTTGAGTGTCACTGCAAATCCTGGGTGAAGTGCATTCATCTCTGCAGAGTGAGCCAATCTCTACCAGGAGGTTTTCTCAGCTAGACTTGCTGGGCAGAGCGCACGGGATGAAGTAGGGGGACTATTGCCCCAGAGGTTCAGTCAAGGAGGCGGTGAGGCCGCGTGGCTTACCCTGTGGAGTGGGACCCCGTGGGGTTCTGGCACACCAAAGGGGTTCCTCCTAGAGACCGTTCCAAAGCTGGGGGCCTAGCACTGATCCGATGGATCCCTGACACTTGCTCTCCAACCTCCCGCACGTACCCTGGGGTCCCCTTTCACACCGGACCCTCAACCCATCTAGAATCTTCCCACAACCCACCGGTGGGTCAGGACCCACCGTTCAGGAAACACGGACCCAGAAGGTGCCAACGGCAGCAGGGGAAAAAAGGCCAGGGTGTGTGTCTTTTCGTTTCTCACCTTGGCTCTCAGGTCATGTCTACACCACTGCTTAAGTTGGCAAAACTCAGGGGTGTGAAAAAAACATCCCCTGAGGGTCTCCAGCTGACATATCTATCACCGCTTGTGGGGATGGTTTTATGATGCCCACCGGACAACTCCCTCCCGTCAGGAGAAGCGGCTACATGAGCGGTCTTATGGCAGCTCAGCTGCATTGGAACAGCTGCGCCACTGTAAGCTCCCCAGTGTAGATGTGGCATAAGGGTGTGTCTACACCACAGTCGGGGTGTGCGACCGTAGCTCGCGCAGCACCCCCCAGCTAGCTTTAATCTAGCTAGCACGGGGACCAATAGCAGGGAAGCTGTGGCAGGATGTGCATCAGCATGGGCTAGCTGCCTGAGTAAATACCCAGACTTCCAACCAGGCTTGGCAGAGAAGCAATGGTGCCTAGTAGTTAGAGGCCTAAACTGGCACTTAGCAGACCTGGAGTCTATTTCTGGCTCTGCTCCTGGCCTGCCAGGTGAATTTGGACAAGTCACGTTCCCTCTTCTGTGCCTTAGTTTCCCATCTCTAAAATGGGGATAAAGCGCTTTGAGATCTACAGATAAAAAGCACCATAAAAGAGCTTGGTGTTGTTATTCTAACTCATGTTAAAACTACTCTGTTTTCTCTAGGGTTTTACCTCGTATTCACTAACATGAGTTAAGAACACAGCTTTTTTTCTAGCAAAGACAAACCCTTTACCACAATTTACCTTGTCTCCTAGGGAAGACTGTAAACCGGTCTCAGTTTTCTTCATGTAGCCGTTAATATTCATCAAAAATCTGTAAACAGCGAAGAAAAACTGATTATAAAAAATATCTTTGCTCAGATTCGTTTAAAAAATTGTCGTATGGGCCAGGGGCATTTCCCACAATGCCTCTGTGCTTGACTGGAGTCATATCTTGAGGTGCAGGGCTAGCCCACATCGAGGAAGATCCCAACTGCTTCCCATGGACCAACTGTTTTAATATCACCTGCTGTTTGGAGCATACCACAGGCCAAACATTTGCTCCTCAAAAGCACCACAGCAAGGCTAAAAGCTGACCATCTCCTGGCCAGCTGTCATATTAGGGGTCCAGTCCAGGGAGGTTCTGAGTGCCTCCTAAGAGGAAATGAGAACCACCAACCGTCTTTAAAGTCAAGTGTGGTATAAATGCCCAGAAAAGATAAGTATAAATGTCCAGGGAGCATGGACAGATGGATAGATAGACAGACAGAAAGCCATAGATAGATAGATAGATAGATAATGTATGGGGTTAGATTGATCTAGCTATATAAGGGAATAGATAGATAATAAAATTCTCTCTCTCTCTCTCCTCATGCACTATATATCCACTCATCTTGGGGGTTTATACAGTACTTCATTTTTATCTATCTATCTATCCATCCATCCATCTATCCTAGGACCAACAAGGCTCACACACCACTGCAAATATCTATCTAACTGTCATACAGATGCCCAGAGGGGTGGATGGACGGATGGATCTCCTCAGGTCTGTATTCCATCTGTACAGAGCTACACATCCTGATGACATACCGTAAATGATTACATCAGAGTCATCCCAGAGGGTCGAAGGACAGAAGCCCAATTTTTCCCTCTCTGCAGGTCCCCTTAAGGGAGGAGGGCAACTGCCATCTCCCTCCATTTCAGGCAGCTCTCTGACTCCTTGCAGGTTACTGAGGCAGCCCTGGGGGTCCTGGGCCATCCCTGCCACAAGCAGAACAAAGGGCACCCAGGCAGTGCCAGCCCTCCTCACCTCTTGCTGTCCACCTCAAGGCCCAGGCCGTTGCTCTCCACCAGGACCTCCATCACCACGCTCCTCTTCATCATTGGCATGGGCGTGTACCAGCACATCCGGCAAACCTCTTCACTGGCACAAGGCCCTGTCGGTGCCCAAGAAACAAAGAGATACCCAACGAGGCTTGGACACTCTCATATGAGCGGGGTGGGCTGATTCTCAGTCAGTCCACTCCTGCACTCAGGACAGGGACAGGGCAAAGGTGGCTTTAAACCCTTTGGACTACCCATATTCTGGGGCTGTGCAGGGCCTGGCCCAGCCTCTGGTGTAAGTTAGAGCAGCCTTGGGGCTGCTGTGACTTATGCTCTGCTTCTGATGGAAGCAGAGAACAGCCATAGCGCAGTGCACTCTGGCGATTCCCTGGATCTGAGAGGGCGGGAGGGCAGAAAGGTATGATCTGCCCCCTACACCCAGGTAGCGCAGGCCAGTATAGGTCCCTTACACTAGTTGCAGAATTCCTTCTCCAGGGGTTTTTTCTGCCCACTCAGAGCCCCTTTCAAGTTGCCAGAGCTTCCTACAGCAGGGCCTTGGCACAAACGAGACTCTGACCACAGCCATGGGTGGAGGCAGACATCTCTCCATCTTTCCCTCTGCAATTTCTCTCTATCCTTCCCTCTGCCATCACCCTCTGCCTCCCCATCCATCTGTCTTGCTCTCATGGCTGCAGCAGCTCCTCACTTCCTCCAACAAACAGGGAAGAAGCCAGGGACCAAAGGAAAATGCCTAATTCCTGTCTCTCTAGGTGGATTCCCAGGGCAAGATTACGGGCTCGGCTATGGGCCCCGGCACAAAGCCTGATGAGCCATTTAAGTCCCATTTAAACCCTTAAAAGGAAACTTAAGCAGTGCCTGATCCTTGACCTATCTCTCAGCATGGCAGGTGGGGAGGGGATTTCACCCCCTACCCTAGAGCCAAGTAACTCAGGTAACAAGAGAGTAGAACCCTGGGCCCGCCAGGCTGTAGTACCAGCAACCACCTGCAGAGGGAACCGCTGGTATTTGCACTGAAATGGAACAGGAGCAGAATACCCTGAAGCCGGTAAGGGGCCCCTTTCATCTCAATCTGCAGCTGCTCGGGTTTCTGATGTTCTGGATTGACGGACGCTTCGAACCTTACGGTCACAATGGGCCGCAGCCCAGTCAGGTGAGCCTTGCGAATGACTTTCACCGCGTCCTTGAGGGAAGGAAGAGAGGAAAGAAAGAAGCTACCGTGCTGAGCTCCCAGCCCCGAGCACTGAGCTCCCAGCCCCGAGCACTGAGCTCCCAGCCCCGAGCACTGAGCCAGCGCTGCTCTTGTTGGCTTGGAGGATCACACGCGACCGCTGCTTGAAGCCCTCTAGCGCAGCTCTTGGGGGGTGCTAGCCTGGAATGCTGAAGCCATGGGGTCAGTTCCCTGCTCTGCCACTGCCTTGCTGTGTGGCACTGGGCAAGTTGCTGCCCTGTGCCTCAGTTTTCCCACATATGAGATGAGGATAGGGACACTTACTCTTGTTGGTAAAGTGTCCTGAGGCTGATGGATGCAGCACATTATATGAGGGGAGGAAGGAGGGCCCTGTGGTTAGGGCAAAGGACTTACCTAGGACTTGGGAGACATGAGTTCCAGTCCTGGCTCTGCCACAGACTCCTTATGTGACCTTGGACAAGTCCCTTAGCTGCTCTGTACAATGGGGAAAATAGCCCTTCCCTGCCTCATAGGAGTGTTGTGGGGATGAACACATTAAAAATTATGAGATGCTCAGCTACTACAGTGATGGGCACAATGTAAGTACCTGAGGTCAGGCCATGTGGGTGGGAAGAGGGGTGATCCCTGACTGACAGAGTTGGGCCAGCAGAAGTCCCTAGTGTGGACACGGCTCTGCCAACAAAACTATGCCCTTCCCACTATAGCCTGTTTCCCTTGCTGGCGGCGGTGGGTTTACTGTAGCAAAACACAGCTCTGCCAGTATACCTGCATCCACCCTACAAGCGCCTTGTTGGTGTTTTGGACCTGTATTCCTATACTGTGGTGCAAAGCACTTCCAGCATAGACCAGGCTGAGACAGATACCTCCAAAGAACACCAGGTGGGGCTGTTTTATCAGCCATTTCCGGATTCACAGTGTTTTGCGGCCATAGCAAATTCACAGCAGCCGCAGTTGTGACCATTAAAATGTTAGACGAGTGAGAGTCCAGTCACATGGTTATCTGGAAGTGTCATGTCAATAAAATAAGAAATCTTTCCAGTGTAAAGAATAACATGTACTATTAATTAGACCACAAACGTTACACGGTTATTACTAACAATACCAATTTTTAAGAGCACGTGAAGACCCTGGTGGCTGCACACTCCAATTGCAAAGAGATCTCTTTACTGTACCTGAGTGAGGCAGGTTAGATTGATTTTCAGGTAGTACGGGAAGCCCAGGTAGTGCTGTCAGAAAGGAGAAGCAGACTGTTCAGAAAAATGCCTTGAAAGTTTGGGTCGACAGGTGCTAACCGGGACTTTTCTTCGAGTTCAAAGACAAATCGCAGGGCCGTTTAATGGTCGAAGTGAAAGTGGCTGTTGGTTCTCTGTCCACTTCCCAGCGTCCATACCACACTGCCCAAGTCATCAGAAAAGCTGGGAACAACCCCTGCAAATCCTGACTCCCATTCCCCTGCCATGAACCACTCTCCTTCCCAGAGCTGCGGATACATCCTGCTCTCCTGTTCCAGCCAGCATAGCACATGCTTCTTCAGTGGATCATCTTCCACCACTCCAGTGGCGGAACAGGAAACAGAACACAGGAGTCCCCTGCTCTACAAACAGGCTTGGCAGAATTCGATTTTGATTTTTTTATAATTTTGACGGATAATATCGATATTGATTTTTTTAAGCATTTTAAAATTTGTATTGATTTAAATTTTCACAGCTGCAGGAAATTACGGGAGGTCAGCCAATGGGGCGGGTCAGACAATAATTACTTAATGACAGTAGATGTTGAGTTTCAAAACATTAAAGCTTTCTAGCTGTTAAAACACAAACTGCCAACGTCACGTCAAAATACGCGAAGTGCGCAGCCTTACACCAAACCCTAATAAGTTCTCAAGCAGCTTTTTTCTTACTTTGCTGATCCGTACATTTCGATTGTCATCAATGGCTACATTTTTGTCAGTTTAGGTGTGTATGATGAACTGGATGTTTAAATCTAATCCTTCCAAGCCTATTTAAAATTTACTAATGGGAAGGTTTAAACCATCTCAACCTTACACGGGCAAATTTGCCTGTACAAAAATGGAGTACTGAGCCCAATGGGGTCAGAGCTGATGTGAGAGCAGAATCAAGCCCTTTTCTATATCCCTCATCCTCCTGCCAAGCCTTCTGAAAAAGTCACACTCACCGATTTTTTATCATTCAGGTCTATAGCTGAGTCTGTCAGATTCTGGAACACAGATGCTATGCTAGTGACTGGGTGCTGCCTAAAAAACACAGCTTGGTCCCCACCTAGATTATCAAAATCATTGAGCACAACTTTCCACTCGCAGTCCTTCAACAGCAGGCAAACCTGCATATGCAGCAGCACCAGCAGGGCAAAACGATGCTGCATATTCTGCGTCTCTTGGTTTCTACACAGGGACCCTGAAGAATAAATGAAACATTGAAGCTTTCTAGCCACTTCATTACGAATAATCATATCTAACCCTGATATAGTAAAACAGTTGATCAATCTGCCTAAGAAACTGATATAAATACAGGGACTACTTCACACAGCACTGAAATGCAGCCACCTCTGGAGTGGGACATGGCAGCTGTTCTAGAAGGGAGCACTTTATCTACTAGTAAAAGGCATGAAATGCCGTAGCTGTTTACATGGTTGCTCTCCCAGCAATGAAACATAGCCAGCTCTGGGATGGAGCATAGCAGCTGCTTTTACGAGCACACAGCAATAATATACAGCAGTTTGGGAGGAGAAGTGAAGAAGAATACCATTCTAGCCAGCTGAAACTACATGAGGATTTTTGGGAGACAGTGTTTAAATACTGAATTGGAATGCAGTCAGGAAAGAGTTTCAGAGTGAACTGGAGGTCATAGCTTGGAGAAGTCTTTAGGCACTTAACCTAAATACTTTTGAGCATCTGGGTCTGAATTCAGAATTAACTACCTCCCACTCCCTAGGATCCCCAGACAGATTTCAGTTTTGGGGCCAGATGCTCAACTGGTTTAAATTGGCACGGATCTGTTGACAGCAATGGATCTATGTCAATTTACACCAACTGGGATTTGTGTTAAAACCATGAAGAACAGCCAGTTCTAGCTAGGTTTTGTCTTGAAATCATTTGAACTTAAACTCCCCTGTGAGTCTCAGGGGCTGTGAACCCAAATTCATCAAAAGCCCATGTGACCCTAAATCAGCGAGGGCTGCTGCACAGCTCTAAACTGGAGTTCTGTGTAAATCTTGTGCGTCCTTTCTAGGGATCAGAAACAAACCTCATGTTGTGGTACTGGAGGGTGTGAATACAGGAGATAACTAAGCAGCACAAGTGTGTGAAATCCACTAGGTTTTGGAAGATAAGAAGTTTTATATGAAGTTTTTCCTAGGAGTGTGTGGAGAGAGCAGCTAGAATTAGGGGTGACCGATGTTATGGCAGGCATAGGACGCCACCTGGTGGAAAAACCATAGTGGAAAAACCTAAAGGAGATTCCGTAATGTGTACTGTAATGTGTTACAATGATAGTCTTGGCATCTCCCACCCAAGGGACCCAATACACCCCGTAAACATTTAAGGAATGTAGCCTCACAAAATAATTTGGCATAGCACAGGATTAAGACGGCATGTGTTGTACAGGTTCGAGCCAGTGGTTGGAACTGGGACTCCAAGGTTTTCTTCCTGGTTGGGCCATGGACTCAGAGATGGCAAGTCCTGTTCCCCCCCCTCCCCCTCCACCCGTGCCTCAGTTTCCCGTGTTGCTCATTCTCACGATTTCCTCATGAATCTCATGAGGACTTACTAAAGCCCCTGGTCCTGAAGAATGAACTTACGGGAGAATCTCCACTTTCATTTTAAAAAGCCCCAGGTTTAGCCTTCGCTTGTGGCGAACAGCTTGAGGGTGTGCCCGGCGCCCCCGCCACGGGCTCAGAAGCCGCATCTCACGAGGCTGGGAAGCTGGAGTCGCGGCTTCTGGACGACGGGAACTACCCAACCGGCTTACGCCCCGAGCCTCCCTGTGACGTCACTTCCCCTTCCCCCTCACGACATCACATCCGCCCTCCTTTCCAGGTCGCCTTCCCGCATGACATCACATCCTGTTCCCTGCTGGCTCATCTCCTCCTGACGTCACCCCCCATGACCTCACATCCGCTCCCCGTAGGATTTCGTGGTCCCCCCCGCAGGGTGTCATTCCCCTCCCTTTCCCGCCCAGTGATGGCCCCTCACGGTGGCACATCATCCATCCATATGACGTCGCGTATCTCGCTTTCCTGACGTCACACACAGCCCAACGATGTCACGCACCCCAGCGGCCAACGGCTTCCCGCTTTTACTCTGCGCGCGCGCCGCCCGACCCCCCGATGACGTCAGACGTCGTGCGCGCGCCCTCCCGTGTTCCGTCAGGCCCCTGCGCCGGGCGCGGCCGAGGCGCGCGGCCGCCCTGCCGGCGGCTGGCCGCGGTTGCCAGGGGAGGCCGTAAAGCAGCGCGGCGCCGGCGGCCGTAAAGGGGGCGGTGTCGCGCCGCGGCGCGGCTGCCGATTCATGGCAGCGATGGCGGCGGCCGGGCTGGTGGTGAACGGGGCGGACGCGGCCGCGGGGCTGAAGGCGGCGGCCGGGATGTACGAGCAGCTCAAGGGCGAGTGGAACCGCAAGAGCCCCAACCTCAGCAAGTGCGGCGAGGCGCTGGGCCGCCTCAAGGTGCGGGGGGGCCGGAGCGGGGGGGGGTCGATCGGGGGGCCGGGGCGGGGGGCCAGGGGAGGGAAGGAGGGAACTGGGGGGGAGGATCGGGGGGGGTACCGGGGGGGGGCGGGGAGCCAGAGGAGGGAGGGTGGATGGGGGGGGTGGGCGGATGGGGGGGGTACCGGGGGGCTGGGGGGGGACCGGGAGGGGGGGGAGGGAGGAACTGGGGGGGGGAGGATCAGGGGGAGATGGGGGCAGGGGGCTAGAGGAGGCAGGGAAGGTGGGGGATGGAGCGAACTGGGGGAAGGATTGGGGGGCAAGGGAAGTGGGGGAGCTGACAGTCAGGGTGGGGGAGAGCTGGGGGCGGGGGGGCAGCGGGAGGGAGCATGGGGGTGGTGCTGGGGGCACAGAGATGGGGAGCCTGACTGGGCGAGGGGTTTTGCAGATGGGGGGGGGCTGGAATCCCCTGAATGGGGGGACGCAGAGGTGGGTCTGGAAGCCTCCCCACCCCCGCCCAGGGAGCTGGCAGTGGTGCAGGGGGAGGGGCTGCTCCTCTGTTCCCTTGCGGGGGGGGGGGGGAGCTGGTGAGCCCAGCAGTGGGGGCAGGGGAGAGAAATTCTGGAATCTCCTAGTGGGGCACAACGGGGACCCTGGAAGCCTTTAAGCCGGAGCGATTGGGATGCCTGAACAGGGAACCCCCACCCCACTTTTCCCCATTGGGGGCCCTGTTGTCATGCTCTAGGGGCTGGCATCTCTCCATCCCCTGAGTTTATCTCTGCTCCTCTGTACCACCTTTGGCTTCACCCTTGTGATTTTGCCACTGCCTCGGTGGAGGGCAGGGTAGGAGGCTGGTGGGGATCCTGGTTGGTCTTTGCCCCTCCGGAGTAGTGAGGCTGGATGGCAGGCAGGCCAGGAAGAATTGGGACTGCAGGTTAGTTGGGGAGAGGGAAATGTCATCGGGGAGGTGATAGGTAAGAAGTCGTATTTGGGGGGGCAGCATGTCTTGTACACATGGAGTCCAGGTAAGAATAATAATGTGTGCATCCAGTGTGTTGTAAAATCCTCTGGCCCTGGTGTGGCTGCTGCTTCCTGAATAAAGTCTGGGTCCCAACAGAAGACCCTGTATATCCTGCCTTTCTGTAGAGTCCCTTGGACCGAACAATCCCAGAACACTGTGTGCAAAGTCCATTGAAATGCAGCCACCTTTGGGGTGATAGCTGTTGAACGACCCTATGGCAGTGCTGCATGGCAGCTTAAGATATGGGAGGTGAAGAAGAATCCTGTAGTGGACTGAAGGCAAGCAGAATTTAGGGAGTCCGAAATGGAACTTGGAATCTGAGCTGGAATTTGGCCCAGTTGATGCCCTCTTAAAATATGTCTGAGATATTTGGCGAATGATCCTCAAAGTGCCTTTTTTCCTAGGAGACTTGGCACCTTTGTCTCCACCTGAGCAGGCAGGAACCTAGAGCTGTAGCCCTGTGTCAGAAATGGGGTGGGGGAGAGAATCGTGGGATCCCGCAGAGGGTGGGGTCGATGAGTCAGAAGGAGTTGTCTGCTTCCCACAGGCCATTTGTGCCTTAATATTTACACACCTCTGCACAAGTGCTGCTGTCATGCCCGCCGAGTCACTAGTGAGCCCGGTGCGCCAGCATCATGCTAAGTTAGGATTGAGGCGAACCCAAGGTTGAGGCCACTTGTTAAACATCCCAAGGGACTGTTTGTAAGAATTGGGGTGTTACCCAAGTTGAATTCAGCCAGGATTACTGTTTAATTACATCCTGCCTCTTTAAATTCCTCACCGCTGCCATTTTGGTTAAACGTAGGGTGGTTCTTCACTTCCTGCCCAAAATTGTGGAGCTGGTAAGTGACTGTAGCGTTCCACCCCAGAAGTGGCTGATGTGAAGTAACCCCTGGTATTGCTGTAAGCATTTGAGGTTTAGGAGCGATTAGCAGAACTGAGCGCCTTGGAGAGCCCAGCTTTAAACAGAAAGCTGTTCTGCACCTCGGCTATAGCAGGGCTGGTGCTCCTGTGTGTGTGTGTGTGTGTGTGTTAACGCTTCGGTTGAACGTAGCACTGCTGAAAGGGGCTAGTTGAGTGATACCAAAGGCTTCTTTGCCCCCAGGACAGGTACAGCCAGCGAAAGCATGCCTGCCATCCATCCCCTCCGCCAGTGTGCTGTAACCACTCCGGAGGGGCCCAACCTGGCAGCTCAGTTGCCGAAGCCCTTGGTGTACTCAGCCTTAGCCTGCCGACCAGTTGTGCTGAGGGAGTCTCACGTTGTGGCCACCTGTGCTTCAAGGAACTGGACTGAGCCCCATTGCAGCAGAATGTGTGCAGGCCCCCACAGCCCTTGGTGGGATGCTAAGTCTTGGTTGTCCTAGCGTCCGGTCTCGTGTAACGCGTCTGCTCTTCTGTTCCAGCTAGCCCTGCTGGAGCTCAACTTCCTGCCTACGACAGGCACGAAACTGACGAAGCAGCAGCTTATATTAGCCAGTGAGTATCATCTCTGCATTCCCTAGAAGGAGCTTGTCCTGTCCGTCCCACCCCCCACCCTTCCCTCACTCAGAGTAGCAGGCTGTGTGCACTTAGCTGCAGTTTGTCTCTGTGTTGCATGGCAAATGGCCAAAATGCACTGGGTCTAATATGCTGCCTCCTGACTGATACTTCTAGTTAAGGGCAGACTCCCCTGCTGAAGGGGGCTGACTGCAGTGCTATATGTGGGGAAGGAGGTTTCCTTCCTGACCACGGGCCCCAGCGAATGAGATTTGTTCAGCCCTGGCGTCGCCGCAGTGCTGTGAATAGAAAAGGGAGCCTTTTGAGATCTCGGTCAGGCGAGAAGCCCCCCTGCCTGCTGTCTGCCAGTCAAGCTCTCTTAGTCTGCCTTTCCATCTCTCTCTGTCCCAGGGGATATTCTCGAAATCGGAGCCCAGTGGAGCATCCTGAAGAAAGACATCCCATCGTTTGAGAGATATATGGCTCAGCTGAAATGCTACTACTTTGACTACAAGTGAGTGTCGGACCCCCAGCATTTCGTCGTGTAACCACTGACCCCTGTGGGATGGGAAGCGTTCCCATCATGCGGTACCCGGTTGTACTGACCTCCTCAGACTTTCCTTGTTGGTAGTGTGAATACACATGGTTTGGTTCAGCTAGTCTGGTATATTGGATGCCAGTGGTCCCTTTGGTCCAAAATCCTGTCTTCTGCCACGCTGGATTGGATCCTGGTGACTGCTCTGGTCCAATCTCCTGCTGCAGTGAATGGCTCAGATCAGTGGGCCCTCTAGTCAGGTGTCCTTTCTCTGACAGCAGCCCAGCAGGGGTGCCCCAAACAAAACCATCCCACAGGCACAACACAAGTAGCAGCACCATGCTGTTCCCTGGGAGCGACTCGTCCCCAGTCCCCGAGGTAATCCGGCCCCGGTGAGTCTCCCTGAGATCCTAGTTCTCTTTTAATAAAAAATGTTCTAAACGGGTGCAAAAAAGCCAAACAGAAAAACTGAATTGGACCGAACCAAAAGGCTTCCTGCTATCGCTCAAGGACTATGTTGAAAGCATGTCGGGTGAGCGAGAAAATGTGGGCCTGGAATTAATAAACCAAAATTGGTGTGTTGGAAACTAGTCCTAATTGGTGGCCAAATTAATCAGGGGATGGGCTGTTCCATCCATCATTCTCTTTTGGGGTCCTTAAAGAAAGACTGGGTGGAGGAGAGAAAGGGGGAAATAAGCAAAAACAGATAGAGGCTACTGGAGCGAGCTTCATCATAGCTGGTACCCCTGGATTCCTTCATCCTACTCCTGAGAGATGGCCGGGCCAGATAATGTCACCACCTCTACCGGCTCCCACTGAAGCCCAGCCACTGCCGGGGATAAAACAGGATCAGACTTTAACAGCAGCCGCCGCAGCTCCAGCACATCTCCGCGAACATCTTTTTTTTTTTTCCGGAAAGGACAGTTATCACCCACCACCTTTGATAGCATTTGAGACTGTCAGCCGGGTTCTTTTTCCTTCTAAAAACCCTCTGGCTAGAGG